GGGGGGGAGAGGATCCATATGCTTTGCAATGCATAGCAATATTTTCTGTCCTTCCTGATTTTAGTAGCTTGAGTGAATTCAGTTTGTGGGTCAGAATATTGCCATCATCGTTCTGTGCTGTTTTTGTTTGTTTAATCTACTACAAGTGCACTCTCACTCTACAGGCCTACATTTTATCACCCAATCCATATGATATCTCTGGTTAACAAAGCAAAGTGGAGCTATGTTGCCTATAGCAACAAACACATGCGCTGCAGTTATTCTGATATCTCAGGAAAATTCTGAGAAAGTCTCCTAAAAATTACAGTTAAAATTTCTACTCTAATTATTTCTCTTATGAATTTAAGCAGATTTTAGACTCTTAAGTTAGTATTTAAGACTCCTTAGTTTCACCTGCCATGTGAATGTGGCAAGAAAGGATAGAAATACTTCTATGTACTATAAACTTGGCAATATGATTGTGATTCTGGGGATATTTTGTTACTTTGTCACGTATACCATTTTTCAGAGATTACTTTGCACTGTAGGTTGAAATTGTACTGACCTGTTTACCAGAACATCTTCCTGAAATGCACAAACTATTTTCATTTTGTGAAACACGTGGGATGTGAATTAAATCATGCACGGTAACAAGAATGAGATGATTGTTTTTGTTACCATGCATTCATTCTTAGCTTTGATTATGTTAACATTTTGCTAACATTTCGCTTTGTCTTCCATGCTGCAACAGGAAGTGATGCACAGTATAATTCCCTGTTGCTGTAAGAGTGGGATAAACTGTACAAATGAGCACTAAGCATGGAAGGCTATTTGGATAGAAAAGCTAAGATACAATGTGCATGCTGAAAAAATAGTATGTATGGAGATTACCTTTGAACAATATAAGTAGACCTAAGGAAATCTGAGACTCCAGCCATGGTCTACAGTCTGAGGCTCAATTTTTGCAGGTGTTCAGACACATCAAATCAGAATGTAGAGCATGACAATCATTTTAGAAGTTGAGAAATGGAAGTGAACAGTTGAGCTAGCGATAACCTAAGTGATGTATAGCCATTTTGTGTTTATAAAATTGAAATCTGTCAAAAATGCCTGAAGAAAAATATGATTTATCTCCTAGATGTGTTGGTTAATGTATAACTGCTCACTGTTGTGAAGCTGAAAATATTATATCCTTAAATATATATATATATTGTTGTTACTGTATTTAGTAAGACACATTTCGTCTTAAATTCATTGAAAAAATGAGAAATGAAGTACGAAGGATGGAAAGGGAAACAAATTTTAATATTGCAACATGATACAGGTTGATAAACATTAAAAGAATTTTTGAATATTAACATTCAACAGATAGCAATTACATGAAATATTGCAGATGTAATCTTTTTTTGCAAGAGGTCTTTAAACCGTTGACTGTGGTGAGCTACAAGAGTGAGACAGTGACAAGATTGTTCGGTGTTAATTTTTTTCCTCTCCCATAAGCATCCACTGCTGACTGCTTTGAAAAAGATTGGCTTATATGGATTTTTGATTTCACCAAACAAGTCAATAGTCATGAATGCAGCAGGTCAGCTTAAAGGTTTGCTTATTGAAACTGAATATATCTAAGTAATCCTTAAGGATGATCTAATTCTGTGGATTCCTAAACATGCATCTTGGTAAATCTTGTTTGCTTGCTTGTAAAGATTGTCATTGACATCTGGAGACAGCCACCAGGAAAAGATTTTGGTTGCCCATGTTCATCTAAGGGCAGTATAAATCAGAGAAATGTCAATGTATGATCAATGTACAAATATTTGCAATAGTCAGAAAAGAGATCTTTCTGGCCTCATTCATGCAGTTGTGCATTTACCTATGGTCTTTAAAAAGACTTCTCCGTAGTACTGTCACTGTTGTACACGTGATAATTACTAGATATTTTATACTGAGAATCTCTGTGTATGTATTTTCAGGACCAAGAAAGTTCAAAGCAAATTGCCCAACTGTTTATATCACTGTATGTATTGGCAGTCAATGTGATATCATCATTATTTGCATAACAAAATTAACGATTTGTCTTTCTGATAAGTTACACCGTTCTGTATAGAACACCCATTTCTTTTCTTGATGTTCTGGTTTTCTTTCAACAAATGCTGTTAGCAGTCAGGCATTTGTATATTTTTAAAATGCAGTATTTAATGTCACTCTGCATGGTACACCTCTTTTTTCATTGAAAAAAATTCTGGTTCTGAGTATTACTTATGAATTTCCACTTAATGAAAGCTACTTTCTTTTATTCTTTTCGTTCCAGTGTGATCATCACTACAGTCTTGTACCTTTCAGATGCCCTTCGTAAAAACTTCTTAAATGAAAACTTTGATTACAAGGTAGAGTAAATATGTCTAACAAAAGATAGATATAGCACCTGCTGCTGCATCGTCCGGCGGCCTGGTTGTTATTAGATAGTCCAGCATCTGAACACCTATAACTTTTGCTATATCAGCAACTCCAGATGTTCAGAAATGAAATGTTTTCTTAAATACAAGACTGGCCTAAAAATTGGGAGTGCTGTGTTTTGTTCTGTTTTGTTTTTTAATTTGTTTATTTTTCATTTTGTTATTTTAGTCTCTGCAGTAGACTATTTACACAGGTTGGTTTTTTTTTTTTTTTTTTTTTTTTTTTATGAAGTTTTAGTATTGTTTCAAAAAACATGCTCACAAACATTTCTGTATTTACAGCATGAGAAACAAGGCCTGGCTTTAGCTTTGTCCAGTGAGGCCTGCAGCTGTTATCTGTTGAGACTGGGAAATAAAACTGTAAAGGTGAACAGGCCAGAAAATGACAGTTCTGCCATGTGATAGATTTTAAGTTGTCCAAACTTAGAAAGTAAAGTTTTCTGGTTCACAGATGTAAAAAAATAATCATAAAAATCTGCCACTCTGAAACTTCTGCATTTCAGAGATGTAAAATATGTAAAATAGATTTATTTCTGCTGAGTATTTTGGTGCTGATGAAAAGTATACTTCTGTGCAATGAAATTTAATCAAGAATAATTTGAGTAATTTATTATTCAAGTGATGTCATTTGAAAATTTGCAACTTGAGTGGTCACCATAGGGTAATACTGAGAAAATAAAATAACTAAATGCTATCTGCTTCTTGTAGATATGGGATTCCTACTTTTTTCTTGCTGTAATTTTTATAAACCAGTTATGTCTTCAACTGGAGATGTTCACTCCTTCCAAGAAAAAAAAGGTTTTAGAAAAGTAAGTATTGCTTTCAATGCCTAGAAAACTGTAATAGATCAAACGCTTCTCAAAATGTAAGATAGGGGAGGTTGCGAAAAGTCCTACAAGGAAGTCGTATAACAATTCCTGAATGATATTTAATTCTGGCCCTTTGTATTGAGATGATAGCAGCGTTCATGGAAGTGCCTAAATTAATTCAGATATGGGAGCAAAATATCTATGTTGTAGCAGTGCCACCACTAATTTCCAGTTCATGTGTTAGTTAATACAGAGTCATTCAGGTATCTCTGCTAGTTGTTTCTTTAAGTTAGTGCAAAACTATTTATTTTGAGTGAGCTACAGCATATTGTTGCGAAAGATAGGTACTGCTTCATAGTTGCATTGCTGATATACAATCTTGAGAAGAAATAAGTACTTTTGACAATATTGTGAATGCACTGGATTTTAGGAATACAGTTTTAGCTGGATACAATGTGAGGAGCAAGAACTTGGAAGAAATCATCACTTCTGAAGTATTTCTTTATGAGCTACAAATGAGACATTTCATTTAACTATGTCACAGAACGCTAGAGGAACTTGATTTTCTTAAATGATCTTCACTGTTTTGCTTTATTTTTAATGTATTCTAGATATGGTGACATGCGGGTAACAATGGGATGTGAAATCTTCAGCATGTGGCAGAATTTAGGTAAGGAGTTAAAAGACATTTTCAGTAGCCGAAAAAATAAAAAGCAAATATTATTACTTCAGTTACCAGTAGTAGAGGAGTTGGGATTGCCCATACTGTGCTCACTTTGAGGTGAATGCTCCTCAAGTGCTGTGTTCAGTTTTCAGTCCCTCACAACAAAAAAGGCATCAAGGCTCTGTAGCATGTTCAGAGAAGGGCAATGAAGCTGGTGAAGGTTCTGGAGCACAAGTCTTATGAGGAACAGCTGAGGGAATTGGGATTTGTCAGTCTGGAGAAGAGGAGGCTCAGGAGAGAATGAAGGGGGGGGTGTGGTGAAATGGGGATTGACCTCCTGCATAGCAAGTGATAGGGCAAGAGGGAAGAGCCGCAAGTTGCACCAGGGGAGGTTCAGGTTGGATATTAGGAAGAATTTCTTTTCCAAAACAGTGGTTAGGCATTGGAACAGGTTGCCCAGAGAAGTAATGGAATCATCATCTTTAGAGGTGTTTAAGGAAAGGGTAGATGTAGTACTAACGGACATGGTTTAGTGGGATATATATTGGTAATATTGGTGATAGGTGTACAGTTGGACTAGATGATCTTAGAGGTCTTTTCCAACCTTTATGATTCTATGGTTATATAAAACCTTGTTTCAAGTGTCAGAAAACCCTAGTCATTTGTAGCTAAATCAATTGTAAGCACTGATACAGTATTGAACATATCCCTTTTTCTTCAGAGAGAACTAAAAGGAACCTGTCAAAGAAAATTAGAAGAGAAAATACTGCTCATTTTGGGCAGAATTTTTATGCCTGGATGTATAATTATGCTCACAATTTTAGTTCTGTTGCCAAACAGTTTAAGGAACATGCATATTTCTTAATTCTGAAACTCTCTTGAGATGCTGGATTTGCATCAAATCTTCCCCAAAGTCCTAGCTCCACTAAACCATAAAGGCATAAACAAATCAGGAACTGATACATAAATGACACGTTGGACAACAAGAGAAAAATATATTCTTAGATATAAACTTAGAAGCATTTTTATATTTATAAGCAGTAACTGTGAAAATTGCTTGAAAGTGTAAGCCTCAGGGAAATGCAATTAAGTGTTTGGGAAGAGTATCAAAACCAATTAGAAGCTTTGAATACCACGCTCGTCATGTTTATATTTCAATTATTCATTAATTTCATTCGTTAAAGGGCTTGTGAAAGATATGAAGGTCGTTGGTTACTGAGATCTATCATCTCATTTCCATAAATCTTTTCCCTGACAAGATAAGTAGTTGTAATAGAACTAGACTTTCTGCTCAGCCTGTACCAGGAAGAGAAGTATTGAAAATGAGATATATTTGCTTATTTGTATTATTAACATTTGTTATGTAGCATGTTTTTCTAATTTAAAATATTTACTTTTAATTACTCTTAACTATTCACTCCAAGGCATCTGTACTCTAGCTTATTTGAATACATGATAGATACTTACAAATTGGTATATCAGGAACACACTCTTGGATCTCATGCTTGAATAAAACCTCAGTGTGCATCATTTCCTTCACATTGTTTTCTACCGAACAGAAACCTGCCGATTTCTATATTGGAAGGAGGGAGTAGTGATGTCTTTCAGCAGGGGGCAAGGACTGTTGCGGACACCATGAAGTTCATCTGATAATGTGTCTAATTAAATCATGCAGGCAGGATATTTCATATAATTGCTGTTACGGTAGTCAACATACACAGTTCTTTTGGCAGTAAGATTCATCATAAGCCCTGGTCTTTGTGTGGTCACCTTGATTTCATATGGATATGCATCCCAGGATTAGTCCAACAGAGAGGAGTGTAATTTTCCTTTGCAGAATACTAAATAGTGTCAGACTGGTGTGACTGGCCACTGGTATAGCCCAAAATAGGCTGCTATGGAAATGAATTTCTATCTAGGACTGTTAACGTATTGTAATTTCTAATTCTCCAATTCTGAAGATCAAGTCATAAGCCTGGAGAACTGAAACTAAACGTTCATATTTTAGTGTATGCCATTCCTAGTTTTCCTGACAAGAACTTACTTTTGCAGTCTCTGCTGAATAAATTGAAGGTGTTTTAACGCCGATTTTTAAGGGAGTTGTTCTGGGAACTGCTGAGTCACATTTTCCCTTGGCTGCAGTCACAACACACACTTCCATTTCTTTACTCACTAACTAAGAATAGGCAAAATTGAAGTACTTATGTCTATTTGATGAACAGGTAATATCAAATAGTTAACCATTTTATAAACACAGAAATGCAGAGCACAGAAACCGAACTGTTCCTGGGATAAAAGTGAAATGCCCAGAGTTCTTCGTCTTTGTTCTCCTCCTGGAAGTCTGACTTGGGATAACAGTAACCCGCTATCACATTTTACCTCAGTATTGCATAATAAAATCTGGCTAGCCTTGCATTCTTCTGTTGCCTGCAGCTTTTCCCTTCACTTTTTGCATTTAAGAAATAGCCCATGCTTTGATGAACACTAGGTAAAAATCTAAAGACATTCGGACTTCTGTTTTTTACTTTTTAGATAATGTTTGCATTGTTTGCTAGCTCATAATTCACATGATTCAAGTTCATGTTCACTTTCATTTTAGGGGAACACAAGCTTCACTTTATTCCAGCATTGATTGGCCCCTTCCTGGAAGTGACTTTGATCCCTCAACCAGACCTGAGGAATGTAATGATTCCCATTTTCCATGACATGATGGACTGGGAGCAAAGGCGAAGTGGCAACTTTAAGCAGGTATGAAACTGTCTATAAAAGAGGACTGGAATTTAAGAGTGCTGGTCCAAATAATTGGTGGTTGAGTCTAGAGAGGATGGCCATAGTGTTGTTACATTTGTTGAAGAGATATTACTGGGATTTTTTCCCTTTTGATTGTGTGCAGGGTTAGTAAGATTCTGCAATGAATTCACTTCTGCCTTCATGTTAGTGATATAAGATAAGAGGAAGGATAAAATCTATATCTTGCCAAAGTGAAGAATGGCACTTCTTTTCAACAAGGCTGATTTTGATGTAGTGTTTTTTGTCTCTAATTTACAGTAGCAGATAACATTCATGTAGCTTCCTTTTGGGCTAGTATGGAAAAAGATCAGATGTTTTTTGAGGAATGTTATTCTGTAAGGATCCAAGTAATCTTGCTGCTTGAACACCTTTCTAACGGGCTAGGAAGGAACGACCAAGTGTGCCATCTGCTCCTACAGCTCCCACTCACTTCTTTCAGACTGCCTCAAACTATTTCTCAGTGCCCTCCTTCATGCTGCATCGAATGAAGGAAAGCAGAAGTATTTGAATTAATCTCAAGCAATCGTAATGCTTAGGGTAAGAGCTGTATCAGAAACACAAAACTATTAAGAATGAAGGAATGCATGTGATGTAAGTAGGTAGTTTTCACTATCAGTAGATAAGATTTTTATTAAGATAACAATTGAAGAGTTTTTTCAAGGAGTGAGAATAAAAAAATCCACTTGTTCTACCTCTTTGTTTTCTGCTTGGGTTTAAATGAAAGTTGTAATAGATTTATTATCAAATAAAATATCTTGGCAACAGCTTGGTTTCTCCCTTAGATTTGTGGTTGCTAATATATTACAGCTAAAAATGAGATTTGAAATATTAGCCTGCATTTTAGCTTCATGTCTTCCTCTATTTTTTATAATCAGTACATTTAAAAATATGTGTTGAAGTAATTAGCCACCTGAGAATCTCTTTAAGCTTCTTTGATAGCTAATATGTAAAACCAGCGAACTGAATTTCTAGCCAAATACACTGGCAGGTAAGAAAGATTGTGAAAGTAAGTCTAAGCCTCCAAATGTTCTGAACTATGCAGGCATTTATAAAAATTAGTCTGTAGAGAGTGTGATACAGGTTAGAAATGATGAAATTTTTATTGAATTCTAAGAACATGGCTTGTGCTTACAACCCACAGTGAGAATTCAGGCAATTTATTTGGGCTGTGTGCTTTTTGTCTGACTCCATAAATAGATAGCTGCCTTAGCAGCAGCAAATGCTACTCAGCCTGTAGTTTTAAAGTCACATTGCTCAATTTAAATTAGCTCCCTCCCTCCAGGAAAAAAAAAAAAAAAAAAAAAACCACCAAAAAAAAGAGAAAAACCCACAAATCTTGGGAATAACAGCTTCAAAGACATGAAGTGACTTATCAGATTTACATGATTGACCAGCAATTCTAAAATATACATTTAGCAAAGTCCCATACATTAAAAAAAAAAAGTCTACTATTAAAATCATCATTAAAGAGAAGAGAAGCTGTTTACACCACACTTATATGTTGCAGGTGGAAGCAAAATTGATTGACAAACTGGACAGCCTAATGTCTGAAGGTAAAGGTGACGAAACGTACCGAGAGCTCTTCAACAGTATGTGAGTAATGTGTTTATTTTACAGTGGTTCATTCAGTTCCATTAGCTGTATTAGATGCTAATATCAGTGTAGGAAAGTAATGCTTAGAACAGTTGTGAATTTTTTTGCTGAAAATATGAGGAATAAAAACATTTTATAGTGGTGTATGTCATCTGTAAAGTCTGGCTGTACTTCTTGTGTAAAGCTATAATTGGGAAAGGCTAAATCTGTTATATCACAGAACATTCTCTGACTTCTAGTTTTAAATTCCGAAAAGCAAGAAATGTTTTGTAATTGCATAGAGTACAGGTAGTGCACAAATGGGACATTTTGAAAACTAGGCATGAGAATTCAACAAAATGGTGTTTTATTAATATGTTTTTTATTGCCAGTACAATTTTTATTGTACTTATCTGTGTAATTTCACTTGCTGATTTCTTGATTGATGTATAGAATTTTATTTATTTTAATAGTATTATATTTTATTTTCTTCCACAACTTCTTGTTAAACATTTAATATATTTTAATAAACAATGTGCCTGAAATCCAATAGCTAAAGCTATAGTGCTGAAGTTCCTAAGGTTCCCCATAAGTTATCCCATTGATAGAAATAAATGATTGTCACAGAGTGAAAAATAACTAACTGAACTCTGTCTTCTTTGCTGTTTCTTAGAACTCTATTCCCCCTAAGTGGAAGATTTCACTCATTTCTGGTGTGTTATAATAGGGCATGTATTATTCCTCTTCAAGATTCCAAACTGTGCATTCTTTAATGCTGTTCAGCACACAATATTTTTGTTTATGTGGCTTCTTAACCATTCCTTCTTCATTGAATATTATTTTTTACCTCTGTTGTCATTGCTTAAAATACAACATTCAGATCTGTGAATACTAAACCCAGGTTTGTTGTTAGTCTAATGCATATAATGATTGTGAATTGCAAATGTAATAATCTGCAATGCTGATGAGTTGAAAAAATATAAAATTTCTAAATATCATTTCAAAAGCAAAAGTGGGTAGAGAGACTGGATGAATGATGATAAACAACAGCACAATGTGGTAAAGCAAACCTTTCTTTTAATTATTCATTGATCTTTCATAGTCTGAATAAAGATAAAAGATAAAACAGGTATAAAGATAAAACAGGTAAGAATGTTTCAGTATGTATTGACAGTATTCCCACTTTAAAATAAGTCATTAAGGGAGAATCTGGTTGTAGAATTAAGTCTAAATACATCCTCTTGCAAAATACATTAGGGTATCTGAAATAACTCTTAACTGTAAGAATTCATATTAGTATAAAATACAGTTCTTAATTTCTTTTAAATTTTAGAATTACATTTAAACTGAGGGAAGTTAAACAAGATATGGTGAAAAACTGGGAGAGCTTTTTTTTTTTTTTTTTTTAAGTCTAAATGCTAAAGATGCAGTAATCTAAATTGCAGAATGTCTCACAGCATCAGTATATTTGTTTCTGTTCTGGTTCAACTGAATTATAACTAGACTTCTTGGCAAATTTCAAAGTATCTGCTCAAATTTATTTCCAGCTCAAGAAAACTGGAAATACTTATTTATCATTAGTTTTCTATTGGAGTTAGATTAGAGCCATACATTAACACCTCTCAACAGGAGAGCTTGGAGAGGGCAATAATCTAAAATGGAGGATGACAGTGTTTCAGGGTAGGTGAAGGAAAATGATTAAAACCAGAAAGTTTAGGGAGCTGGCTGTGTGGAGTCAGTTACTGCAAGATTTCTCCTTTTTTTTTCCTTTCCTTCCATGGGTAATTTAATCTCAGCAATATTAGACTGTCTTCACACAGTGCATGAGAACAGACTTGTTTAGTCTTAAGTGACAGGGCTGTGGTATGCACACAGAAGATGTGAAACAATATTTTAGGTCTAAGACCCGCAGTGATTACAGAGTCTTTAAGAAAAACAAGTGCTGCAGTGTTACTTGATCAGTCTGAAGATGGTTGGTTTGATAGGTACAGTTGGGAGCCAAGAAGATGCACACACCTGCTTTGGATACACTGTAGTAACTACAGTGGGTGTGACACATTCTGTTGTTGTCATGCTTTTTGTTTATTTTGTCTGAATCAGAAAATGAATTTAAATCTCTCAACTCCCACGTTAACTTCCCCCCTCACCCCCCCATCTTTCCTTTGAATGTCATCTGTTTTCAGAGACAAATTATAAGCATCTCTGGACATCTCTAAAATGCTGCATGCTTACAATTCACTGCTTATGTTGGAATTATCAAATGAAAACACACAGTGAAAGTGGGAGGAAGATGGCTGCTGTTTATGACTTTCTAGTGACTTGAACATGACCACACAGTGATTAGCTCATGATGCAGTGGAGGGCATCGCTACACTGAGGAGAACAACTCAGATATAAAATAATGTCTCTTTGCCTCTTGTTCCTGCTCTTCCAGCATGGTTGGACTAGATGATCTTAGAGGACTTTATCACATCAATAACTATATTTCAGTTTGGCCTTACACAAGCTATTTCAGATATGGAGGGTAGGTGGCTGCATTATTGAAGCACAAAGCCTGGGATGACAGGCTCCATCGGTGGTTGAGCTTCTCTGTGAAGTAATTGCAACTGGGATTCCAGCTAATCTGGTACTTAATACCTATCTCTGTTAGATCTTGGGTGATTTCACTAGACATAAAGCTATTGTGTAAAAAGTGTTAACTGCTTTCTCTCCCATGCTGTCTTCAGTCTTCTCCATTTCTTCCTCTGACTGTGTAACTGAATTCAGCCTTGCCTGTTCCATTAGACTCTGGACTGAGTCTTTTAGTCCACCTTGAACATTCTGTGGTTTGGGAAGCTCCACTCCCATTTCTGAATTGCAGCGAAGTTTGACTTTGACTTGTCTGTGTAAACGAGGATCTCTGACTAAATTGAGGTATCTGGAGAAAATTGTACTCCGAGATGGAGATCTTGGTGACTAAATGTAATTTTAGAATTAAGTGTCTTAAAGTCAGTGGCCTAAATAGCCCTGTAGCTAAGACATATAAAACCTACTTATATTGAGACTTACCACATGGCTTAAATAGTCTAAACATGGTTCAGAGCTTGGCATTCTTCCCCAGAGAGCTCTGATCCTCTGGGTCTGCACCCCACACCCTTATTCTCAAGAACACTAGATTAAAAACAAACAAACAAACAAACAAAAAAAAACCAAACCAATTTTCAGTTGAGCCCAGATATAGCATTTACATTTTTTCCCTTGTATAATTTAGCATCTTGGCTATACTTTGTGTGGAGGAATTGTATGATAGAGGTAGGCACAACACAGGCAAAGGAAGAATTTTGCCTGTGTTTATGTCTACACTCAAAGAAGAGGTTGCATTTAGAAAGCAAATAGATTCAGCAAGAGGGTCAAATAGAAGAGAGATGTTAGAAAAGTGTGTGTCTATTTTCAAACACAAGGTGTTAGTAGGAAAGAATGCTTAACTTGAGCGAGTCACTTATGTCACATTCTTTTTGGATATTGCCATGAGGAAGCCAAGAAATTTATTTGGGTAGCTCTTTTGTTCTGAATGTTTTTTTTTCTGTGCACTGTGTTGAAAGGTGTATGGTGGAGAGTGGGAGGCATGCATCAGAAGGCAAGATACAAAATTGTCCACTTACAATGTTCGTGTCAGTGTGAATAAGTGTTTCGATGGGTCTTCACCACCCATTTGTAGAAATTGTGTATTTATAACAAATATGCCAATACATTTATAATGAACATACGTAACTCAAGTGTAGACTGAACTCATCTGTTTTAAAAGAGAGCTCAGACATCTACTGAATTTTCACAGGAACTGTAATTATTTTGGTGAATTTAGGTTGAAATGTTCCTTTTTAATATAGAGTTGAAAAGCAATAGAAAGGAAAAGTCAGTGCAGTAATCAGTGCTTATTAATGTAACAGGCTGTACTTTTGTTAGACACAAAAACTTGTACTGAAAGGAAACATCAGGGGTTTAAAGGCAAATTAAGTTAGTCTATGGAAAGCAGAGATGCCATAGTGCTCCAGCATCTCTTTATAGGGACAGCTTTATCATCTCTCTCCTAGCAATGACAGGTAGTCTTTGAATGTGAGGGCAAGATGTCTCATTGCCCCCTAAAAAGAAGTGGTGAAACTAAGATTGATATCAGGATGCAGAATGGAGGTGAGTGTTTCCTCCAGCACAGCACAGCTTTTAGGTCAAAACAGCTTGCAGAATTGCATCGGTGACATCCTTCTGTATACAGGAACTGAACAGAAGTAGAGAGCATAGTTGCTGCAGTTGGCATGTGGGAGTTATTGGGCGCTGCTGTGTGTTCAATGAAATTTGGATGTAGGAGTTTTATGGGACTGAACATGTTCAGTATGGATGAAGGTCAGTGGAGCTGACAGCTTGCCCACTGCAGACAGGAGGTTTGGAAATGCTATTAGCAGCTCGCTAAAGAGCCCTGAGTATACAGATGTAGCAGTTTTTCAGAGGCTTCAATGGAAACCGTACCTGAGTGCATTTTCAGGGAGACTACCAGAATATCTCCATTGACGTGTTAGCCTTCTGAGGTACTGTGCCAAAGCAGAGAATTAACAACTGTGTGGATAAATATTTCCTTGTTCATCCCTAAACAGAGAAGAAATGTTGAAAATCCATGCACAAATGATTAATATTTGATAAACTTAGAGAAAATCAGAGATATTTAGCAGATATATTAAGTATAATTTTACTAACAGCTTCATTTACAGTAACATTTCTTTTTGCTTCAATCTGTAATTCGTATTCATGTTCATACAAGAATTCAGCTCAACATGGGTTTTAATTAAGAATCTTACAGCAATTTAAGCTAATTTGAATTTTATGTGTAATAATGATTTGTTCTCAGAAGGAAATACTAAGTGTGATGGGGAATCATCTTTTTAAAATACTTTTCTCATTCTTAAATTTAATGTATGCCAAAATATTAGAGAAGTGAGGAGGAAAAATCTTTGTTTAAAAAGTTGAGGTTCTACTAAAAAGGTTTACTAAGCAGGTACATGTTCTTTTCTAAATACATCTAGAGAATTTCTGTTTTGTGAAGTATTGGCATGAGTTAATATATGAACTTTATGTGAAAGCTTTGTTCAATCTTTGGCAGAATATTAATATATTTCTGAAAATTCAGTATTTGATATATTTTAACCTGATGCAGCTAATTTAAAAATCATTTGTTTTGTCAATGCTTCCTGGACTAGAATTCCACTTTTTGGTCCTTATCCTAGGTAAGACACTGTTTGCAAATTGTGCTTCTTGGGAGGGTGTTTGTGAAAGAAAAAACAAACTGAACCAAAGTATCAAAGTTGTTGCTAAGGTATTCAGGTACTGCTAAAAGCAGAGTGGTTGTCATAGTGACAGTAAAATAATAAAATTGTTCTGGCTTCTTGTTTTTTTTCAGTCTGCTGAAGAAAATTGAGCGGGAAACATGGAGGGAAAGTGGTGTTTCATTAATTGCTACAGTGACTCGCCTCATGGAAAGGTTACTGGACTACAGGTGATTATCTTTCAGTAAGGTTGTCATATTAAAAATGTTTGGAGACAAGCACTGGGATCTTGTACAAATAGTGACTATACATGGACATATCAACTTAGGATCTCTGACAGCAGCTACTTAGTCAACTCACAAATTACACATGTCTGAAAACTGAGAATCCTTCACATGATATGAAAATCCAGCATCAATTTCTTATCTGGAATATAGGAACTTTCAGCAGTAGGTTAGTGATTCAAGTCTGTCTGAAGTCACTAAGTTCAATGTTAACCACCTGACAGCTGTCGTACAGAATATGTAAATTCTTATCACTGTGTCAATCACGCCTAGTAGTAGTGTCAGCTGGCACACTAAGTATGTATACAGAAACATGATCTCTCAGTGAGAAGCTTGCATCTGACTTTACCACACCAAAAAATGAAAGGGAGAAAAGAGACGTATCCTGCTCTTTGTGGGTGGGAGACTGCAAGTGATTTTCTCAGTCCTTTGTGAAGTCCGTGAAGAAACTTAAGACTACAGCTTAGTCCTCTTCATTGGCAAGTTGCAGTACCTTCTAGAGCCTAAGGGTTTGGTTTTTATCCAATTCTGCAGGGGAGATATGGTGAGACCTGATTTCTGCTATCTTCAATAACAGTTTGAGAATAAAGAAAATAAAGCTGTTTCGTCAATAGAAAAAACAACAACAACAACAACAAACTCTTAACATCTAGAAGTGTTTTTCCTCCCCAGGGAGGAATAAATGAGTGCTGTTCCTCCTCAGGCATTAGTTGGATTACAACCTCCAGGGCTGTGAATCCAGCAACTTTCAGAACAACTGTTTATGCAAGTGGTTGTAAGAGAAATACAATTGTTTAGTTCATGTGCAAGAATGTTTTAAAGTTATGTAAAATTTATTTTAGTGACTGCACAGTTGTGCCTGTTTGTTACTTTTTTACCCCAGTATGGTTGTACTGGCACTAATCTTTGTTGACTAATCAAAATCTTCATGGTTCCACTTTAAATTTTGGCTGGGAATCAGGTGTGTTCCCTCACCAAATAATGAATGATACTGGTTATAGAGTGCTACGAGGAATTGAAAATGAGCATTCTAAAGAGGAGGTCAGTATCATTCTGCTTTTTCACAGAGGAAACACTTTAGGTTTACACTGTCTGTGAAGAAAATAGATTCATCCCCTCACTCCTGTCACAGTGTTCCTTGTGCCAACATAAATGTTTGTGCGGGACTGTGGTGGTCTGACTGAGATGGCTAAATGTAACCCATCAAAACATGCTGCCTAACATGTTTCACTTTCTGAGAATTCTGTAGGCAGCAGTGCAGGACTGAGAATGAGTGCCTGAGAGCCATAGGGGAGCAGAACTGCCTTGCTGGCTTCTGCTGCCACAGTTTGAGATCAAGGTGTGAGGAAACCAAATGAATCTCCAGGATTCATGTAGGAAGTGAATTACAGGTGTGCTTTGTGTGGTGAAAAGGCTAAACTTTCTTCCTTTTGTTTTAGGGATTGCATGAAAATGGGAGAAGTGGATGGCAAAAAAATTGGCTGCACTGTTAGCCTTTTGGTTTGTATAATAATTTTTCTTGCCCTTTTTTATTAAGTTAAGCACTTTCAATTATACAGCCATATATTTGAATGGGAAATAGCCTGTTTCTTGATGCAGTTTTAGTTGACAGAATGGTGGTGAAGCATTGCCACAGGCAAAGCTGTGGATGCTCCATCCCTGGAGGCATCCCCTGGTTGGATGGGGCCCTGAGTAGCCTGATCCTGTGATGGGCAACCCTGCCTATGGCAGGAGGGCTGGAATGAAATGATCTTTAAGGTCCCCTCCAACCCAAGCTATTCTGTGATTAGTATTGCTGATCATTTTTTCAGGATGAAATTGATACAGTAGTTTCCTTTGATACAGTAGTTTCTTTTGTATAGTTGGATTCTGAGAGATCTCTAATACTGCTTCATTCGGGTTTTTTTCCCTTCTTCCTAGGTAAATTTTGTCGAAGTATTTTCTAAATGTAATTGGTCTCCGAGTTCTCAGACAGAAACAAACCTTTCCATTTCCCCAGAACCCAATGAAACTGACATTTCTCCAGTTTCCTGTCTTTCTAATAGCTGGTTCAGCCCAGAATGCTTCTCGAAACTTCTTCCTGTCATGTAACCAACCATCAATGTCAATCTGTATTATGAAAAATATTTCATTTTTTTTATGAGATGCATTTTTGTTCTAGGCCAATTTCTACTGACAAGTTTGTTGATTTCTGTTAACCTTGGAAATTTTCCATTTTCATGATGTTTGTTTTGGAAAGCTATATTTTTAGCCATGGAAAAAAAACAGAATAAGTTGACTCATAATTCTGCATTTTTGACGTCAGCAAAGCAATTTGGTAGCACTTCTAAATAGCAGTTATACATGAGAGAATAAAGGATTTCTTCAGCAGGGAAATGGTACTCTCCTAATATGGAAAATGTTTACTACACAGCCGTAGAGCAGCTGGCTTCCTATCAGAACCTCTGGCATGATTTGAACTCTGTAAAGTACCTGGATTATTTTCATTCTACCAGTAAGGACTTTTAAAATTCTTATTAGTAAATCATTCAAGATTTTAACAAAAACAAAATTCAAGCATTTAAACCCACTCCCCCCATTCCCCAAAACACCATTATACTTTTTAATAGGATTTTCTATAACTTGTACAGGTTAATGAAGATTTTCTACCCTAATAATTTTCAGACACATTTTGTTACTGTTTGCCCACTTGAGAAACAACCAATACCAAATTTTGGAAAGTAAAGTTTGATTATGAAAATAGCACACACAATTTAAGACATTTAGTTGTCCATATGATCAATGAACTGTTTGTCACCTCAGCATTTGTTTTGTCCATGCAAATGATTAAAGGAATATATAATCCTGAAATTATTTTAAATATAGAGAAAGAAGCAATACTTCATTTTTCATTAACACTTCAGAAGTATTCTGATTTCCAAAGGTGAGAGGATTGATTGGCTTGAAAAGAGAATGTTTATGTTTTGCCATGGAAGTACATGCTGTTCTTCTGGGAAGTAGAATTGAACAAGTTAACAAAGTTATCAAACTAACTAGAGTTATGCTACATCATGAAATACGCAGAGGTACAAGTATCAGTACAAGTATTGCAATTGTGCATTCAGTATTTATGTAATCAGTTCCCAGCATAAGTCAGGGCTGAAAAAAGCAAGTTTTAATTTGGCATTATGCTACTTAGGGTACCAGACAGTTCTTTGCAATGTTCTAACGTCCTTCTGCTATTTCACTGTGACAAAATGAAGAGCAGACATATTAGGCAGTAGATATTTTGTTAAAATACTACAAAAGTTAGAGCACTGTCAGCATTTTAAAACCAACAAGGAGCTTTCAGCAAGATGTTAAATATTCTAAGTAAGTGTAGATGGGTGTATTTTTGGGCTGGGTTAGTATTTATAAGGAAAGAAACATCAGATTTCAGTTCTGTCACATTTTTTCTTTATTTAAAAAATAAAAAATAAAAATAAAATTTAAAAGAACATATCACAGAATCACAGAATCACAGAATCACCTGGGTTGGAAGGGACCTCAAGGATCATGTAGTTCCAACCCCCCAACATATTGACTGGTCTACCAAATATATAATGGAACTAAACATTATATTGAATATCTTTTGTATGTGATAGATATATTTAATATCTACTACATTTCATTATGAAATTCAATTTTATTACAGAATTTTTACAAGACTGAACTGAACAAAGAAGAGATGTATATTCGCTATATTCATAAGCTCTATGACCTACATCTGAAAGCACAAAACTTTACAGGTAACGAAATGCAAACCAGAAAAAGTACCTAGGACTAGATGTGATTTGCAGACCTTCAAAGTTATGTGCAGTGCACAATATGCAAACTCAGACTGAGTTTTCTTGCTCAATTAGTCTCTCTAAGAGTTGTGGGTCTTCCTTTCAGCCCTACAACTCTGCTACTTTCTGTTTGTTGAAACAATGACTATTGATGCACACTAGCAATATATGCCAGAGTTGTTCTTCAGCCAAGAGGAGTAAAGATGAGGTTTATGTGAATCAGTTTGGTAGTGTGAATCTTTGCATATCACATTTGCAGTACTATTGTCCAGTATTTTTCAATGTGAATTTACCACCGGTGCTGACAATTATCATTTAAATGGAAAAATAAGAAGATAAGCACATATTAATTGTACAATAAAAGGGGCACTTCATCTGAGTGACTGTTATGAAGAATTGCTGAAACGAATAAAATCAGTATCTCTTTAAATGAAACAGCCTTTGGGTGCCAAAATACTCAAGTGACCTTGCAATACCTCTGTCCATTTCCCAGTGATTACAACAGCAACTTCATGTCTTCAGAATCTCTGCAGATTGTTTGCATTCTTAAAAGTAGCTTTTTGGCTAGTGGGCACTAGTAAACAGGCTATGGGTACATACTGGTAGTGAATTTTCTAGGATCCATAGGCAAGGTCCTTAGCTTGGAATTTTTACATTTGCTTTTCATGGCTTTAAAGTCTAAACTAAATTCTGGGTACATTAAGGAGAGGACTTTCATTTCCACATGTGACCTGGCAGTAGTGAATCACAAGAGAGTTTTGATTATCAAGCACTACTATCTTTGGCCCAGCTGGCTTTTTTGCCAAATTATTAATTTCCTGATCTTACATAACAGATGCTAGCAACTCTTTAAGCAATTATGTGTTCCCTTTAGAAGTCGACTGCAAATATGCATCCAATTTACTTTCGGCAATGATATCAACCTTTTCATTTTTTTTTGTCATCCTAATTCTAAATTCTAATTATAATTCTAGTATTAATGGTATTTTGTTTACAGTTTTTCCGCAGGACTTTGTTATATTTCCTGTGTATCTATTATTAGTGTCTGCATTCTTTTCCGTGGTAGATTCCATGACTCCAAGATTTTTTGCTGTGAGAGACTTAAAGAAGAATTGGCTCAACCCATGGTTAGAAGCAGTCTTTCCACTTGAAAATAGACTTATGTAGTCCATTGCGTTGCTTATCAATCAGTGGCAACATACAGATCCTTTGTGAATTGACTGAAAAAGAAAAAGAAGTCTATTTACAGAACAGTTTCTAATGCGTCTTAATTCTCTGTGAATAAAAAAGTCCTTTTTTTAGAAAATAAAAAATCCTGGCTAAGAACTTGATGTCAAGTGAGAAAGGCAGGGTCACAGTAAGCTATCGTGACATCTATTTATGCTCTGCTGTTTTCCTTTCTTTCCATTTTGAACGATTGTTACCAACTTCATGGATATTTTCTTGTTATGTAAACATGCTGCATGTTTTTACTACAAAATTGTAGCTTGAAACTTGGAAAATGACATTACTAGCCAAGCAGCCTGAAAGCTGTGTGATGTCAAAATTAAGACAGACTGTGCAACTTCAAGTGGTCTCCCTTCCACATACATGTTGTAATGCAGCATTGCTTTATATCATACTTAGCATTTTATGACACTTGGGTTCAAAGCACACTTTCCCACAAACATCTTCTGCAGTGATGGCTTTTCATACACATGTTATTAGGCTAGATAAATAAGAGGAACACTATTAGAAAAAAAAAACCCTGTATAGCCTGGCAAACATCATCTGACTTAGAGGGATGTACACAGAAGAGTCAGAAGTAGGATACAACTGACTAGGGCAAGTTCACCTACCTCAGCATATATGAGGTCTGTTACTAAATCTGCAGTAAAAGAAGTTCAGTGGGCAGCTTAAGAATGTCCAAAAATCAACACTACCACTGGTTTTATTACTTCAAATACGTCACAATACAGTTTTCCTTCAAAATGGTGTATCTCAGTAAGAGTATTCACATTATCATGCACTTTCTCTGTGTCTTGTTTGCTTGGTGTTCATATGCATTGTGGTGTAATTTGTCTTGCAGAGGCTGCCTACACGCTCTTGCTTTACGATGAGCTGTTGGAGTGGTCTGATCGGCCCCTGAGAGAATTTCTGAACTACCCCATGCAAACAGAATGGCAACGAAAAGAGTATCTCCATCTGACTATCATTCAAAACTTCGATAGGGGAAAGGTAAAATAGTCCTATTTTACTGAGTAAATCTAGAAAGGGTAGTTAATTCACCCCATGACTTACTTCTAGTTTTGCATTTTCTAATACAGAGGGGAAGTATTTGTCACTGCCTGATTAAGCAGTTACTTAGCGACACAGTAGGTTCCTTCTAATTCTGTTTGTATCCTAGAAATCTCCCACACTTAAATGTGAGAATAATTTCCACTTGTGTAGCAGATCTCTTTGCAAGTATCGAAGGACTTTGTAAAAGATGTTATAATTTCTCCCCATTTTAAAGGTGGTGAAAATGAGGCCTACAGCAAAAGAACCTTATACAATTCACTGAGTGACCAAGTGAGGAATAACATTCCAAGCGTCTGGATTATAAGATCTGTTTGCATCTCCTAAATTGCAATGTGTCATTTTGAATATCAACTGCAGAATCTCTAAAAGGAGAGCATTTTGGGGAGGTCACAGTTCATTGTCATCTCTGAGAATGCTTATTCTGAATTATGCAAGAGCAATTATCCTGTAGTTTAAAATTTTATATACCCTTTGTGTGATTATTTATCTCAGGGATGAATAGGCAATTCAGTGCAATTTTGCATAGGTAGTATAATATATATTCTATAATACCTATAGTATAGGTATATGATAATATAGGTAGTATAAGTCTTGGAAATGTTTTTAAAGTGAAGTTGATGATTGTTTTTTTCCCAGAAAATTCTCTGATCAGTTTATAGTTTTAATCATATTGTGCAATAAAATATTCCAAACAAGAAAAATTAAGGAGGATATGTTAAGAGGAACAGATTTTTAAAATTTAAGATTTTAAAATGTGAAGTTCGTATCCGTTTGAATCAGTGAATCAGTCTTAAAAGTATTATCAAACAAATGATTACTTATATCTTGTGCAGTGATTGTCCTGTAAGAATCATATATTAAGTAAGTCTCCAAACAGATCCAACAAATAATTCATCAGTATTAACAGCTATTTGTATGTCTAATGAACAATATGTTCAGTTATTTTCATTTCCATACTGGAAGTATGACCTGGTGTAGAAAGAACAGACTTCACGAATAAGTCATGAATTGTCAAACAGTTGTGAAATTACTAAACATCTTTTACTTGCTTGCAGTGTTGGGAAAATGGCATTATTTTATGCAGGAAAATTGCTGAACAGTATGAGAGCTACTATGACTACAGAAACCTTAGCAAGATGAGGGTAATGTACCTAAGTACTTTTCATCAATCATAGATCAAAAAGCTTTTTTCGTTTGGAATGTAAAAGGTTACCTGGAAACCTAAGTTTGCCACTGTTCCATTTGAAAACACTTTTTTTTAAAGCTTGTACTTGTTTTCTGTAACAGATTATAGAAAGAAGTGTAAGCTGAAGAGTGTAAGAAGAAGTGATCTTGTAGTGTTTGTACCTGTACAGCACTCCCTTTGTACACATGCTCATGCAAAAATATTGTATCTATCAATGCAGTTTTGTTGATTTCCTATCGTTTGTCCAAGGAATGTGCTCTATGCAGTCCTTAGTTGATATCTTTGCAGTTGTAATTGGAAACAAACAGCTTGCAACAAGTAACATACAACTTTGCTAATCTATATATTGCATAAAAATATGATCTGCTTAATTCATATAGACAAAAGGAGTCTTTTATGATACAGTCACAATACAATAACTATAACACTCCTTATGATCTGCTTTACTTTGTATATGTATTTAGATAATTCAATGGCAGAATGCTGTAGGCAAGAACAAAAAAATGGCTGTCATCATATTAACAAAATTATTTATGCACATTTAATTAATTGTATTTAATAAGTTCTGTGCTTGCATTAGTAGGTATCTTTCTACTATATCTGTGCCACCTAAGTTTTAACCCAAAAAGGAGGACTAGGGGATTTCTCATAGCTGTATAAACTCAGCAGATATCACATACACATTAAATAGCTTTTTACATGAGCTGAAATGGGCATCATGCTTTTTTTTTCCAAAGCATTAAAAAAAGTATGAACAGGGAATTTTTTTCGTGAAATCTCATAATTAGAAAAAAAGACTGTGACATAAAGATGACTTTGTGCTAATGTTTTGAGTAAAATAAAAATGGGATATATTGATTAAAGTGATATAGTTACTATCATGAGACTTTTCCAGAAACTCACGTTAGATACTGAAATCATTGGAAACTGGTATGATTTGAGCATGACTGTTTTGAAAATGGCTCCTTGCTTTTACTCAGAGATACACTGCAATTGCAGTACTCCAGAGCAGTGCATCAAAACACCTTGTGTTTCGTGACAGCTTAAGGTAAAAATATGTTTTCAAAGAACACTAATTGCATTTCTTTTCAATCTCAATCAGATGATGGAAGCATCTTTGTATGATAAAATTATGGATCAACAGCGTTTGGAGCCAGAGTTTTTCAGAGTTGGATTTTATGGGAAAAAGTTTCCATTCTTCTTGAGAGTAAGTGAATTGAAAATTAACCAAATTGAGTAATTCTGGTACTTGTGCTGTTTTTCAAAATTACTTTCTCTACCTGAGAATTTGATCCTACCACATATAAGTTCTATGAGAAGCAGGGAATTCTCTGTGGTAAATACGATATTCTCATGTTATCAGGGGCAAGAAAAGGTTTTATCTAACAGAAAGACAAATGATAGGCTTCTAGAGTCCCACATAGGCTTAAGATTTTAGTTTGTGTTGGAAACCACGCACCTGAAGTATTCCACTGATCGCTGTCTTCTTTTCATGGTAGCCTGTTCCCATTGTTCTGTTTCTGCTGGTGGCTGCTCAGATGGCAGCTATCCAAAGAAGTGTCATTTGGCAGTTGGACAATCAGTAACTCAGCACTGAAGGAATTACATTCTCAATCTCACTTTTTAAAGTGAGTTGGAAATTCAGCATGCTGACTTCCATTGTTTATTAGTATAGTAAAGCTGACAAGATATATGAAGTTACTCTTGAACATTAATCTTAGATTCTGAAGCTACCAAAGTGCCCCTGAAAATTTTATTTTTGTTATTCTGTTCCCCTCTTCCACAGTCTGCAGTGGTTTAGCTGCATTGACTGTCACCTTGGGAAGAGAACAGAATCCATCTTATTTGTGGAGCCACTGCAGTCATAATCCAAGCTCCCCTTTCTGTAGTAATTCAAATAAGTGATGATGGAACCACCTCTGTGTAGAGGAGGCCTAAAAAGCCAAATTTTTCTTTGTGTCTGGGAAAGTTGCAAATTGCAAATTGTAAATATAGAATGAACATGGCCATTTAAATCCTTATAGAACAACAGTCTTGTCGGCATAGTTTTTGTTGTTGTCTGTATATGTCTTCTGGAGAAACCAATTTGAAATTGTTAATTAGAAAGCATATAATGTCTGATGTTCCTAAAAACTGCTTCAACCAATACAGTAAAAGTACTGGAAAAAGTCTGTACAGGAGTGCTGTATTTTCAGACCTGTAAGTCTTTCACTGCTTATACATCTGCACAGAAAGTACTGATGCATTTTCCAAGTTAAACATATATGACACTAGTAAAGAACATATTTATGCTTCCTGCACCAACAAGGAGCACCTCAAAACTTAACTACATTAGATTCAATTTTTGGAGGGAAAGCAATTTGAGCAGTTTGTACTTTTATTAGAAAGTCTGGTATATTTGCCATTGAAGGAATAAAGAATAAAGCTTCAGAGGAAAGCTTTCAAATGTTAATTTCTGGTTGCACACTAGCAGTATTGCATTAGGTTTCTTATAGCAGTTTCCATGGAAGACTACAGTGCTTTCTGTCCCTTGTAAAGATACTATAAGGAAAGCTACAATTTCTATCTAAATCAGCTTCAGGAGAACTCATTAGTAATGACTTTTGAGAGTTTTCTAATATAGATGTAAAAGTAAAGTTCATTAGATATTATTTTTAGAAAAATGGTAATTTCCTTTATTTCAAACATCAGCAGCACCACAGTTGGGGACAAGTTACAGTGAGTGCTTCAGATCCAGAAAGCTCATGTAAAACTTGTGTTCATGCTTCAGGAAAACAATGGAATATAGTAAATATTCCTTCATCTAGATTTCTTATTTTCTCCTGGCCTCTTGATTTTTATCTTTTTCCTTCTTCGTGATAAAATGATGTAAAAATTGCCCTTAAAGTGTATTTAAGACTGTGTGTTTAAATCTATTTAATGATACCCATTCATTTTTGCATAATTTGCTCTTGTTTTTTTTCATATTTTTTCTCAGAATAAGGAATTCGTTTGCCGAGGACATGACTACGAAAGACTGGAGGCCTTCCAGCAGCGAATGTTGAATGAGTTCCCACATGCCATTGCTATGCAACATGCAAATCAACCAGATGAGACAATCTTTCAGGCAGAAGCACAGTGTATCCGCATAATCACAAACCCATGCCACTTAATTGTCTAGTTTTTAAAAAATGTAGGTAACTCTGTAACCAATTTCAATAACTATCAGCTTCCACTTAAATGGTAGGTAAGAAGTCCCCTGCAATTTGTCCCACTCACTCTGTTTTGTTCAGATTTATTTTCACATAATTCTTGGTTTTGTTCAAAATTTCTTGATTATTAAGATTCTTACTTCAACCAAAAATGCTCATGGAACTCTCATTGCTTTGATAATGGTGTGTCAGTTCAAGTTACAATAGCTCAAGTTCTTACAATAAAATATAATGCTGGCATGGCATGACATCCAGTATATAAGAATATATTTAATTAAATTCTTTTCTTCCATATACTATTACATGTAAGTAGCTCTATTTCTCTCTCTCTCTTTTTTTTTTTTTTTTAAATAAGAGATTTCAAAAACAAAACAAAACAAAACAAAAAACAACAACAAAAAACAACAAAAAAAACCCAAACAAGTCCCAAATAATTAAAAAATGCCTGAAGTTAATTTCCTAAGCCATTAGTATTCTAGAAGCATTTAATGATACAGACTTTGAAAACAATTTTTATTCTGTCATATCTCAGGAGGCAATGTGCTTTGCTAATTTCAGTGACGTGGAATAGCCTTAACTCTTTACGTACAGACTTGCAGATCTACGCTGTGACACCAATACCAGAAAATCAAGAGGTCCTGCAGAGAGATGGCATTCCAGATAACATCAAGAGTTTTTACAAAGTAAATCACATCTGGCGATTCAGATATGACAGGCCATTTCACAAAGGTACCAAGGACAAGGAGAATGAGTTCAAGGTAGAGTACCACACACTTTCCCAAACTACAAGACCTAAGGATTTATTTGAAACATCAGTTACAGCTGTGTTATTGATCTGAGTGTGTTCTGACAAATTCTCTAAAGGAAACGGTAGGTCAAATTTGACTCTTTTACTCTTCATTTTAGTTAAAATTCCTGTAATAGTTATATAGGAGCTGCAAAGTCTTTCTGTATATGATGATGGGGGAGCAAAAAATACCTGCTTTTTTTTTCACTTTGATGATACATCGAAGGCAGAACTGCAGAAAGGAGAGCAGCCTTCTCCAGAGAAGCCTATAAGGTAGACAGGTAAACACTGCTAAGTTAATCTTCTGTGGTATAGATAGGATTACCAAAAATTCCCTCCACTGAGAGCAGAGGAATGACAGTTTTGACTAAGATATAGCATAATGTTCCATTCCTGTGACATAGAAACTAAAAAGTACCTTTGAACTTACAGCTTGTCTCAGAGATAATAATATAGAATAATACCATCTGTATAAGAGTTGAAAAGTGGCAGAAATGACTGCTTAGTTGAGAAAGTTCTGAGAAACGTGAAAATCGTAGGCTTCTGCAACGGACATTTCAATAGATTCCTGGATATTAGTTTGTTTTTTTTCCTTTATGTATGCTGTTTGTTAAGTGGATTTTTTTTACAAAGAAAATTGGGAATAGTCAAAAAACTTCTAGAAGTAAATTATGGAAATAAATTGATTTTGTATATTGCAGAGCTTGTGGGTGGAGAGAACTACGCTGATCTTGGTGCAGAGTTTACCTGGAATCTCTCGTTGGTTTGAAGTGGAAAAACGTGAAGTAGTGAGTATAAGACTGATTGCAATCTGTATTGTGTTGCTTTACTTCTGCATCCATACCTTATTGGAAAACAACCTTAAGATTAATTGGCCAGATGTAATTTATTTGTGCAAGTTTTGAAGCCGACTACAACAAAATTATTTACAAAGTATTTTGAGTTGTCCAGTTTCTCTTATCCCATAAAGTATTACAAGGAAACCAGATTTATGGTTCATTTAAACAGGTGAGAAAAAAAGAAGCCATGAACAATAATGGGCAGCCATAACTCAGTAAAAGGCAATACTTATTGTGAACAAATTACTTCTTTCAGCATAAAATTTAATACTTAGAATATCTGTAGTTTAATGTATCTTTTAGCATTCCTGAAATGTAAGTATTATCCATTCCCTGTACTGTAATAAATGCCATGTGGGTATGTCACTATCTCTACCTAGGGCTCTGTTGAAATTGTCACTTCTCAGCGTGCCCATGGAAGCATGCCTACACAGATCTTGTAGGAATAGGGTCTAATGTAGCAATCTTTTACTGACACATTGTAATTTCTTCTCATTCCTTGTTTTCTTTCTTCGAAAATCTTTAAATACTTTCCAAATGTATTCTAAGGAGTGCTCATAGTATAAAAATATCTGAAAAAACTGGTCAGTTGTTGAGCCAGAGAACAAAACACCTGTAATTTTCTTCCCTTCCTATTAAAGCTATTCTTAACAAAAATCCCATTAATTACAGGGTTACTGTTGTAAAACTGAACTGTCTTGCAGAAAACAAAAAAAAAGTAATTTAGTTAAAAATTAAAAAAATAAATGTGTGCGACACAAAATTTTGTTAGTTGACTTCCACAAAGACCTTACACAGACCTTCAAACTAATTATTACACTGAAATTGGAATATAGAAGAACCACCCCAGTTACTGTATTACCATTATAGTCACCATTTCCTATAGCTAATCCTCATATTTTTTTCTGGGCACGTACTAGATGAGGACTCATATTTGTGCTTTGATGTTTTAGTAAGTTATGCCAACTACAGGCCCTCTTCCCATCTCTCTGCTTTTTGCTTTTCCTGCAGTTCATGCCAACAGTGAGTAGAGCTTCCTCACGCTCTGGAAGACAGGCACATCCTGTTCAATGATTGCCCTTGACTGTAACTCGATTATCATCAAAGCTTACATTCCAACTTCTCATCCATACCATCTAGCTGTTGACTATATTATAAGTTGGGTATGAGAACTACCTCGCCCATGCTTAAGCTTTGCTCTGTGTCCTTAAGTGCAATGAAGCAGTCTCTGACCTCCCCCCTAATTAAGGAGAGTTACCAAGGACAATTCACAAAAACTTCTCATCCCAAATTTCACCACATGCTGAAGTATGTGTTTTGTAGCAGATGCTGAGCAATCTCCCAGGGTCAGATAATTAACCTGCTAGAGAGGGTTCTTTGCTTTGGCCCTTGATTACCTGATGTCTCTCTGTTCAGATATTTGTTTTGTTGAAAAACAAATCTTTCTGCCATGTTATACTACAACACAGAATAATGTTATTTTCAGGTTTAGAATTCAACAAAAAAATCACCTTTAATATAGTTCATCTTTTAACTGATTTTCCTCACCACCCTTTCAGGTGGAAATGAGTCCCCTTGAGAATGCCATTGAAGTCTTAGAAAATAAGAACCAGCAACTGAGAACACTGATCAGTCAGTGTCAAACTCGACAGATGCAAAACATTAACCCTCTCACAATGTGTCTAAATGGGGTCATTGATGCAGCGGTTAATGGTGGTGTTACTAGATACCAAGAGGTGAGCAATTTATGTTGTGTTTATAAAAAATCTTTTACAGGACTGTTTCTTTCTAATTATTTCTCTGAACTGATAAATTCTGTATGAATTGAGGATAGAAACTATTATAAATTATACATTTAATGGCATTTATATTGCAGTTTAGGTGTGAGCTGATGTTAAATATATATAGCTTTATGGGAACAACTGTTTTGCTGCAGATAATGCCATAAATATACTCCAGTGATGAGAACAGTAACATTCGCCTTGTATTCTTTAGTGGTTAGTGCTTTTCTTTATTATCTTTCTTAAGAAGTAGTCAGTTCTAACTATATTGCTGTAATATGTACAACCCAACCCAAGTAAGGAGATACTTCTGGCTGACCAGCACATTTCCTTTTGTGAGATGATGTTCTGATTTAAGAGAAATAATTCATAACAACAAATATATTTATCTTATGGAATCATTTTTCTGTATCCTTATTCTTCTGCCCTTCCATATTCTAGATGAGAACTGTTTTCTGGAAAAATCTAGTGAGCTGTAACTGCTATACTTGTAAAATATCCAAACTTCTATCTCAGTGCTAGATTTGACCCCTGGTTATCATAATCTCTCAATCATCTTAAGAAAAGCTTAAATTTTGGGGATGTTGTATTTTCACAAACTCGTGAGATTTTGAAATAGCAATAAAAAGAAAGGAGGGCTATTTTTCTCAGCCTGGCTTGATCTCACAGTTTTTCACAGTAGTCATTTGAAATACTTGAATTAGCTACTTGTGCCTTTTCCACTGAAAATTTCAAGTTGAATAACCACCCGCTTGTCTTAAAGGCTGTAAAATTTGTTGTTCATTCAGCAGAAGTAAATTTGATAAAGCTGCATTTGAGTTAAACTACAAGAGATTCATTCTGCTATGGTGTTAGAAACTGTCGTTAATACTGCAGCATTTATGAAAGCTGTGGAGCTAAGGTAAAGAAATACTATATTTGGTGTCTCCCAGCTGCCTTTAAAGAAAACTGACAACAAAGCTTATTTAGCAAAACAAAGCACTGCAGATGGAGTTGCTGGAGCAATATAGACATGTCAGAGCTATGTCTGACATAGTTTGACAATTTGAATTAGCACTATAGATGAATTTCATCTGAGCTGGCTAGACGTGTCTGCATAGTTCTCCATTATTCAGGAGCATACTGAAGGTTCTAGCTCATTCCATTCTTTTTACTGTTCTTAGCTACAATTCTTTGTCTCCTAGATAGTCTTCATTTGTAGCTTTTTATTCCCCTTTGTCCTGTACCCCCCTCTTCTCTCTCTTTGGCTGTGCATCTAAGATAGGACATTACAACATATATGTTTCACCAAATATGTGGTCGTGAGGTGACTGTGTCTTTACAGATACTTTATTTCCCTTTTGGCAACTTTCCCAGTTTAAAAAAGTAAAAGATCCAGCAAATAATCCCTTTTGGTCAACTGCTACCTTCTTGATTCTGCTTTTTTTCTTCCCCGTCTTTTCTCCTGATAATAAAAAGGGGTTGTCTCCAATTGTGCAGTAACTTGGCTGATATTAGAGCTACCCTTTCATTCACTGCTTTTAGTACTTCCTAGGAAAATCTAGAGAAGTGGTAGCTCTTATGCAATATCTTTCTGTATGCTTTATGCTAAAAAGCATGAAGTATGTTTTGTGCTCATTAACTAACACCTCTTACACTGCACTTTGTGCTATAACGTATTTTTCTTTTAATTACTTTGCATGTGCTTGGAACTGAGTAGAAGCACTTTCATGTTTCATTATTGGAAAACATGGGCTCCAAGACTTACTAGATTTAATTGAATTCTGATTATTTTTTTCCTCTTAAAATACTGGGGATTTTGCTGAAATTATTACATCTCTGACTCATTCTACAGTTCTTGCAGTTCTTCTCAGCCCAAAACTACTGGGATACCACCTGCTCAATATTGAAAACACATCAAGATTTTCAGATGAGGGGGAAATAAAGCAGCTGTCAGAAGTTTGGGATATGAGAATTTAGCAAGCAGTATCAGAGGGCTCCTTTTTGCAATTTAAACCTATAAGACTTCAAACTGACTTATCTGCAGTGAGAGAGCCATGTAAAATAAATATTCTTTGCTACAGTATCAGCATTTTCTAGACAGGTCTCATGAGTTGCCACAGCATGAAATTTTGGAACTGTCAGAGAAAGGGGTATTTTAATCTCCAGCTCCACTGTTGCCTATATTTACAAATCATTATGCACAGCATAAATTTTAATAGCTGAAATTGGTTGGAGGGCCTTGTAAAGGCTATACGAGTGAATCACTAAGACAAGTGGGAAACAGCACAAAGCAGCCACTATTATCCTCTCAACTCTATGGAGAGAAAACTGTGTATGTAAATGGGGATCTTCTGTGACAAAGGCACATCTGAGAAAGTCTGTAAATCTCTCAAATGAGCTGCTGGGTATTTTCTATATGGAATAGAGCTAAGCAGAGTTGTAAATTGAGTACAGTCCCCTTGCGGGATAGGATAGGTACCATGCTAAAATGCAAGTGTGAACAAAAAAGTGACTGCTATATCCAGGCCATGGCTGGTAGATAAAAATGATTTCAGGGTATTATGACTGGTACAATTAGAGCACTAGAAGTGGGATGGAAAGTCATGTAACACACTCAAGTATTGTTTGTCAGATGCTCCTGAAGTGAAAAAGTGTGGCTTTCTGAAATCAATATCATCATGAGTTCTTTCAAATATTAATTGTAAGAGTGTATAGGATACTGTGAGAAATGCTCTCACAATACTGGCATGGTTTTGATACATATAGTAGCTTACAATTCCATGCTGTCCTTGCGGTATCTTTGTATTTAAATGATAGCAAATCTCCTAGTATGAAAAGGCTTCTCTAACTCTTTGCAATTATTTGAAACTCCTAGTTCACAATCAGTGGGAGAGAGATATTTATTTAAGGTAATCTTTGCTTCATTTCATCTGTGATTTGCCAGTTTCCAGATTTGATTCAGGATCTGTCCAGGATATTGAACAACTGGTTGAATTCGACTTCAAGAAGGGCTCCATTTTATTCATTTGTATTCTCCACCAGTGTGGAAATGAAAAACCACTTGTTTAGCGTTGCAAAAAGAGCTTTTGTTTCAAAAATACAATGAAGAAACTGTTGGTTAAAAAACAAAAACAAAAAACAAAAAACTAGATTTGTTTCTACTTGCTTTGTTATTTTGTGATTTTTTTGTTTGTTTGTTTTTGGTTTTTTGTTGTTTTAATTTAGGCATTCTTTGTCAAAGAATATGTTTTGAACCATCCAGAAGATGGAGAGAAGATTACACGCTTGAGGGAGCTGATGCTTGAGCAGGTAAAGTGGTGAAAAATCCTGGCTAGGTCACCCTCTCAGCTGTTCTAGCTGAAATGATGTGTCCCAAAATAAAGTACAAAATTTCAGAGGTTACAGAATCACAGAACTGTAGGGGTTGGAAGGGATCTCCAGAGATCATAGAGTCCAACCCCCCTGCCAAAGTAAGCTCACTACATCAGGTTGCACAGGTTACTAACTGCTTAGTAGTCTCTAGTATTTTCTGAATTAGTTTGCAAATAGACAGAAGCTTCGTATATAAGCATGTTTCCAGATCATGTTAATATATTCTCCCTAGTTCTTTCTGTCCCTCTTAAACACTTCAAACTATTATAAATTAAAAGTCGAACAAGAGGCAAATTTTTGTACAGTGCTGATCATATGCAAATATTTGCACAATGTATTTTAGTACTACTACAGAATAAACAGTATTCTCAGCAAATGGTTTGGCTTAAACAAATATTTGTACATTGCATTTTACCACTAGGACAGAACAAACATCATTTTTACTATAGTGTTTAGTATATGAGAACGCACACACAGTGTAAGATATCTAATAGCACTAACAACAATTGCCTGTCTGGTTAGGCACTAAAATAAACACCAGGTGATATAATCACAGAATTGAATTTTTATGCACTACATAATTATTCTGTTATTTCTTCGTTTTCCTATTTATTGTAGTCCTGACATTACGAATATTCCTGTAAAATTCACTACCAAAATTTTTGAAATTAAAAATAAATGAACTGCGTATGAATCAGGTTCTAGAATTTGATTATGTTATAAAACAGTCACTGGGTTTCTGAATTATTATTTATTTTACTCTTTGTTTACATTTGTTTCAGCAAAGCAAGATGATTATAAAATTATCCCCAGATATTGATTTGCTTATGCAATAAGCCAAATGATTAAACTTAAAATAGTCTCTTTTTAAGAGACAATGAATAAACCAAAGGAAAAGATTTAGAATTTTTCACTGGGAGACATGAAAGGAGAATGTTTCCATCTTCTCTATCCCTCAGAAAATGTCAGGATGCAGAGACCTAACCATTATAATTCAGTCTTTGTGTCTTTATACTTTGTGCTTATAAGTATACAGATTATTGGCAGACTATCCAACAGGGGAATTATGCATAAGAAGGCTGGAAATGCTGAAACAAATTATTTTGATCAATTTATCATAGCATTTCAGCTCTTTTAACTGACTTTTACCTATCTGTACTCTATGCAGCATGTTGAAATGTCAAGCTTTCTTGCCAGATTAGGATAAAAAGTTCAGAGTATTGGAATTTAGCAAGATGGAATTTCCATTTTTTTGTTTTTTTGGTCAGAGTAGTGATATTAGTGATATCTTTTGGTCAGATCAGACGAAGGCACAGATATTCATAGTATAAACAAAAGCAAACTCACTGAGCTCATTTTAAATTAGGTAATATATATTAATGTTACATTCCAGTGTTTTTCAAGTTACAGGTTAATATCGCTAACTCTTTTAATTTATAACTCAGAGGTTGTCAATTCATATAATCATAGAAACATCCAACCCCCTGCTGTGGGCAGGGCTGCCCAAGTAAAATGAGAAGTACCATATGTGTGTCACTGATTTTCGTCTCAGACTTTTAGATCTGCTTTGATTATAGGTCTCTCAGGGATGCAAACAAATTATTTTAATATGCGTTTTAGTTATGTTTTTTTTGTTGCTTGTTTGGATTCCTAAGATACTCTCTGGGTTGTTCAGAGATAGAAGTGTAAAGAAAAGAGATCTAAAATGTATTTTTTCTTCTTTTTCCTCCTGACTCTCCTACAGGCCCAAATTCTGGAGTTTGGCTTAGCTGTGCATGAGAAGTTTGTGCCCCAGGACATGAGGCCTTTGCACAAAAAGCTGGTGGATCAGTTCTTTGTGATGAAGTCTAGCTTGGGAATACAGGTATATGAGTGGGTGCACAGATGAACCAGAAGACAGTCTAGCCACGGTAACAGTGGTTAATTTTCCTAAGCAACAAATAGTGACATCTTTTGGTTATTTGTCCACATTACATCTTACAGAATTACAGTATCACAGAGCATAGGGAAAGTTAATTCACTTTCCATGCAGTAAGAGAAAAATCATAGAATCATAGAATTCTTAGAATTGGAAGGGACCATTATAGGTCATCTAGTCCAACTCCACTGCATTGAACAGGGCACCTACCGCTAGATAATCATATTTGACTTCAGGGAAAGTATCATCAGCAAAAAGTTAAACTATTTTTTTTCTAATGATGAGGCTAATCTAAAAGAATGGTTTGGACTGGAAGGGACCTCAAAAACCTCCCAGTTCCAAACCCTCTGACTGAAGAATTTCTTTGTAACACCTAACCTAAATCTCCCTTGTCCTATTACTGTTAGACCATGTAAAAAGTTGGCCTCCTTTGTGCTTATAAGCTCCCTCTAAGTTCTGGAAGGCCACAGTGAGGTCTCCCTGGAGTCTTCTCTTCTCCAAGCCCAGCTCCCTCAGCCTTTCTTCTAGAGAGGTGCTCCAGCCCTCTGATCATCTTCATGGCCTCTGCCTTTCTTGTGCTGAAAGCCCTGAAAGCAGTACTCCTGGTGGGACTCCATGAGGGCAGAGCAGAAGTGGACAATCATCTCCCTTGCCCTGCTGGTCACCCCTCTTTTGATACTGTTGGCCTCTGAGATGCAAGTGCACACTGCTGGCTCATGTACAGCTTTTCATCCACCAGGCCCCTCAAGTACTTCTTAGCAGGATAAAATGCAGATATAACTACTCAATAAAATGTTCATTTTAATTAATCTTCTTTTAACAACTTGCAGGAATATTCTGCCTGTGTACAAGCTAGCCCTATCCATTTTCCAAATGGAAGTCCTCGTGTCTGTCGAAACTCAGTACCTGTTTCTATGAGTCCAGATGGTGCTCGGGTAATACCACGACGCAGGCAAGTTAAATTACTAGAAATTGATAGATTTTTTTACTCGTGGAAGATGATCCATAGAATACTTTTATTGTGTGTGTGCTTTCTCTAAAGTCAGACTGAAGTATCTTCACGTATGAATAGCTGCTTCTGTCTTTTTTTCCCTCTTCTTCCTCTTTAGAAAATTTAGATTAAATTGTGGAGATCAATAACATGTATTGTTTTCACATGAAAAATTATAATTGACAATTAGAGTAAATCATTTTGTGTTTCACTATTTTTAAAATAGTCCTTTGAGTTACCCAGCTGTCAATCGGTATTCATCCTCATCACTGTCATCCCAAGCTTCCGCTGAAGTCAGCAATATCACTGGGCAGTCAGAAAGCTCTGATGAAGTTTTTAACATGCAGGTACAAATTACTAAGATTCTTCAAACTACTTTTTTTTTTTTCTTGTGAAGTTATTTACTAAATTAATGCTTCTGTTAGTTCATTCAGAAATCTAAAAGTTACTGCCGATACATTCTAAAAACAAATATTTAAATGGGCTGTTAGCCTCCTTGACTTACAAAGAACAATTTTTATGTAAAAGTTTCTTCCAAACTTCAAGTAAGAATTTTTGACGAATTCAATGTGCTATGCAAAATTATCTGACTTTACCTAGACTTTTCTGTTCAGCAATCACACTGATGTAATTATGTTAATGTATTAATTGTATTTCTACTTGATACTCTACTAAAGCTTTTTGTCTAGTTACAGGAAATGTGTTCTACACTGTTTTGCTGAGAAATCAATAACAAATTATTAGTTCTTTGTTTTACAATTATTAAAAAAAAAAAGTTTGAGTGAAATATATTTAAAATTTTTCTTTCCAAACTAGTAAGTATGATGTAGTAACCACACTATCTTTTCTTTACACAGCCAAGTCCATCTACCTCAAGTTTGAGCTCTACTCATTCTGCTTCACCTAATGTGACCAGTTCTGCTCCATCCAGTGCAAGAGGTCAGTCCTCCCGTGGTAAACTGAATTAAATGATTATTGATCTGTTTCACAGCTGAATCTTTAGATAATTTTTGCATGATGTCAGCAGACATCAAATTTAGCCCTTTTTTTTTTTCAAGAATGAGCATTAGTAGTGGCTGAGGATTTCTTTGTCGTAAATAGTCTTATAGAATTGAGATGACTGAATTTCAGTGTGAAATCACTTGACACATTTATGTTCTAGCCTCTCCTCTGTTATCTGACAAACACAAGCATTCCCGAGAAAACTCTTGCCTGTCTCCCAGAGAGCGACCCTGCAGTGCCATCTACCCTACTTCTTTGGAAGCCTCGCAGGTAGGAAGATAACTGCTTAACTCTAGTTAAAAAGATGATAAAGGCACTTGTTGAACTTTGAGCAGTTTCACTGTCTGCACAGTGCTGTTAATTTTCAGTATTTCGGTTTCTATAAGCAGATACCTTCTTAATACACACACAAACGCACACACAAAAGAGATGTGAAAAGAATATACTGTATTTGGTTACATTTCTGCTTCCTTTTTAAGATTGAGATCTAGTTTTGATATTTACTCATTGCAGAAAGACCGGCATATCCTGATTGACTGAAACAGCAGTGTTTGCTCAATCTGGGGAAGAAGAAAAACTGGGAACTTCCCTCAGTTTCTTCTGAAATAGATAATCCTAGCCACTGTGAGCTCGTAACCCACTCCATGTGGCAATTTCTGTTGTCAGCAGAGTTTTGGAAAAGAATGGTGTTTTGTTACTCCAGAGGAAATAATAAGTTGAGTCCTTATCTTAAAATTACTGGTACATAGGTCTATATAAAATTCAAATCTTTTCCAGTTATCTGAAATGCAAAATGGGCTTGGTAAGCTAGGCAGTTTTGAATCCTTATTTCATCTTTTCTTCTGAATGGACCTGTTTTCCTAAAGTGTTTTCCTTTTCTATAGATGTTGTTTCAATCCACAGTATCACACTATGCACATCTTGCTGAAGCTGAGAAAGAAGAAAACATAAGTATCTTGTGAAAGGCCCTCTTTTCAGCAGTAGTTCTCATTTCCACCACAAGTTTTGACTTTGATAGAATTTTAGAATTGGATTTCTGGTTTCTCTGCAGTTATTGTATTCTTGTCTCTTTCTTCTTCAGTTATTGAATTGGCTCTTGATTTAACTACTTCTTCCTTTCTGTTGAAGTCCTCTTGCTGTTACCTGAGGGCTTAAGAATTATTATTAAAGCTGAGCCAGACTTAACAACAGTGTCAGTAATTGCTGGTATATCAACTGGGCACTTTCTCACTAGTTGTGGAGCCAAACCAACATACAGGAAAGATCAGGAGGTGTTCTTTAAATAATGCGGTTTTACAGCTTGCCGCAAAGAAAAATTATCCCATTTTTGCTCCCAGACTGCAAACTCTTGCTTTGCCAAGTGGAATGCGGCTTCTGTTTCCCACTCCACCCGAGATTCGATAAGGGAGGCTGAGGAGCATGTATGCCCAGCCTCCACGCAATCAGAGACTCGCCTGGCAGCAAAATCTCCCAATCTGTCTCTACCCTCAGTGTCCCAAGAGAGGGTAAGTAGAAAATTATCTTGCTTGTACAGTGAAGCATGTTTCAAAGATGAGAAGGTCTGACAGTTTTACCCTTATAACTGTGAATGAGGATGTATCTTTCTGGGAAAAGGTGCAATTTCTCTGATGCTCTGTTTTCTGAGCATTAAAAATGAACTGTGATCAGAAGGCAAGTTCTGATTCTCTGCCTCATGAGGAAGATGGAAAAAAGAAATCCTCAAAGAACAACTGTAAGGAGATATGTCTTAAGAATACCTGGAACTCTTGTCAGAATTTAGATGGTTAAGTTTTAAATCATGCTTTCTGCTTTTATTCTAACACAAGTTAACTTTTACAGTCTTGGTTAGAGCTTCACACTACAGTCACACGAAAAAGATCACCCATTTATGAAGGTCTTTAGCTTAATGAATGCAAGGTTCACAATAGATTTCAACCTGGAAGAATGAGATGCACAGGCAAAATTAATGTTTTTCAAGTCCAAATCCATCTCTGTCTTTTAAGGAAGTTTGATGGATTGCATAGAACCATACCACAGCAGTACTTCATCTGATCTCTTCATTGAAATTGCTGCTCAAGGTCATCTATGTACAGCTGTGTTTGGTCACCATCTGTTTGTGATTGCTTTTTGATCTCTGGCTGAGCAGTTGTATGGTGTGTCTCTAGCTCCTCCCATAAGCTGAGAGTGGATGTCTCTTGTTGCTGACTGGTTCTTTTAGTTTTTGTGCTTTACTTCTTCTTAGTTTTTGTGCTTTACTTCTTAGTGGAGCATTTTGGCTTTCATGTTTTTGATTCTCTTGAGTTTCATTAAATATCCTGTGATTGCTCTTGCTCTTCTGTATGGTTTTATATTCCACTGTTTCAATACGTCCTCATATCTCTGTAAATCATGAAGCTTTTTGCCTCTTTTAGCTTCTCCAATTTCAGTTGCTTTTTCAGCTTCTGCTCTTGACCTTCACAACATAAGAGATTTCAGAAACATCACCACACTTGCCCACCAGGTCCTAATATCCCACAGAATCTCTATGCAGTGAACATTTGGTCCAAATCAGGCAGGAATATATGATCACATTTTCTACCAGTAAATATGTAGTTACGTCACCTCAGTTTAATGGTAGCTCTGGGAAAACAGATTATGCCTGATCCAGTATGATTAGTACAGCAAGACAGCAAACCCAGTCTACTCAAAATCTACTGACTCATTCTCATATGAAGTGTTTTAAATCAAGTAGGATTGGCTAAGTATCTGTCCCTCATTCTGTAACACAGAGCTGCAATGTGTTAGATCCATGATGATTGCTCTGCAGCAGGATTTGCCATTGTGTGGAACCATAGCATCATGTCTCAATGACTTTGCTCTGTGAACACGGGGAGGAGATAAGAGAATAGAGATTTACAGATTTGGATTTCACATATTGCCTCACTTTATCTTTTAAAAAAATGACGTAATGTTTCCTCTGTTCTTGTTTCCTTTGGACTGTACATCTGAATTACTTGTGGGATTGACTATATTTTGTTTGTTCCTATTGTCAAGATAAAATAGTGACCCACTGATAATTTGAATGTTGCCAAAAGAAATAATTGGTGGAATTATAAAATCATTTCATAAATTTACTGTGATTATTTCTTAAAATCAACCCAAAAAGAAAGAAGAAGAGACTTTGATCAGGTCTTTTCCGGAAGAGAAGCAAGAGTGATACTGGTAGAAAAAGGTTAGCATTGGAAATAACACACAATGCTTTTCAAAGATAGCAAATCAGCTCCTCCATGTGTTTAGTATTCAGTCAGGTTAACTCAGTCAGATACCTGACTGAGGACTGAGCCTCATTTTGTCATTCAGGGAGCAGGAAACTGCCAGAATTCAGTATGTTATAACCCTCCCACTGATTTCAGTGTGTACAGTTTTCAGAGTAGTATACACATTATTTGTGTACCCGTTTTTATTCAAGTATTTATGTTCTTAGGTGATATTTATTACTCTATCTCCAAGTAGTCCCGTGTGGTAGGGATAATAACAAAAATTTATTTATTCTCTTAAAAGTTACTCACAACTGCAGTTATGAATAAACCATTCTGTTCTTGATTTACAGAGAATGTTGTTTAATCATATTGGAGATGGTGCTTTGCCACGAAGTGATTCTAATCTGCCTGGCCCTGACAAAGGTGAGTGGAAATTTTGCACCTTACTAACCTTGGTAATCAGTGAAAATATAATGCACGTTGTCTTGAGCATATAACATTATTTCTGAGTTTCAAAATATTACATAGGTCTCTCCAAAAGTAGCGCCTCTATTTAATTCCATGGAAACTACAACACATACAAAAAGCACAATAATGCTATTTGATAGAGCAAATTCTCAGCCACAAAAACACTGTTTTTCAATGCAGTTACCACCCTTAGCCAATTCATGTGGGTGAGCTGATAGAGATGCTCTTCATTCTGTGCTGTGACAGCTGTGCATAGCTGTCTGGAGCGTGGCTCGTCTTTCATGTCTCTGTCACTGCAGCTGAAACGCACCACCAACCGCCTCACTGTGCTCACATCCACTGTTAGGTCTCCATAACTGATCAGCAAGCATCAGTGAATGTCAGCAATGTCGTGTCCTGTCCATAAGATATGACATGCAGAGATCCGTATGCAATCATCAATTTTAGTAAGAATCTGTTTACTACACTTATCCCCAGATTTTGGCACACGATTATCATAGAAATACTGGCACTTTAACAATTAAATCTGTCCTACCTGCACAGCTAAACGTTATGACTTGAGAAGATGGCACACTGAAAACCTATCTTAAACTGCAGAGCTAAACTATACAACCTTAAGAAGCCAAAATCAGTCTCACAATTACTTAACAACTTTATGACTTAATGACTTTACAAGAGCTATGACCTCTAAGAAAGTGAAATAAATCTTGCAATTACTTAACAACTTTATGAGATAAAAAGAACAGAGAGAGAAAATGTAGGAAAATGGACAAAGAGCAAAGGAGACAGAGAGATGGACAGAGAAACAGAGATCACCCACAAGAGAAATTGAGAGAAACAGAGTCAGAGAGACAGACAGAAAAAAGATCACTGGTCTATTTTGAGGAGTTCCAATGTTCCCCAGGAATTGCAACCTACTGGGGACAGAGAAGTGATGGGGGGGATGAATGTCCAGAGGTCATAGTCTTGAACACATGAACAGCAATGATGATGGCGAAGAAGTGGGACACCTCTCAGGCATCCTTTTATGTCTGAAAGGTTTGCACATGCATCATCCCAAGGTGATAAACAAGTGATTTCTCAATAACAAGTTTGTTAAAAATAAATTTGTAGCAAAAATTTTCTTGCAGGAAAGGTAGTAGTTGTGGGTGAGGTAAGACTGTCCTGTTTGCATGGGATCTCCTGCCTCACAAATAATGGCCTCCAACTGGTTGTCACGATGATGGCTGCGTGCTGCAAGTGTTTGAGGTATATCAAGAACACCTCAGAAAGGCAGAAAGTGTTTTCTGTTGGTCCTTTACAAATGGTGCCATTTTTTCTGCCTGGAGGAATTCACTGGCACCCTTTTTGCTTCATACGCATTTCCATGGCAGACACCATTCTGTCAGACTGTTCCTCTGCTGCCATCTGTCTCAAGGCAACAAAAAGTAAGGGATATTGACGAGAAGGTTCAGCCATACCACCAACATCCACCTCTGATGTCGTGCACCAACATAATAACATAGAAGGCATTTCTGTCAGAGCAGCTCTCACAAATAAAACATGCTAATATTCTTAAGCTTCAAAACACTGCCAAAAAAGGGGAAAAGCAATGTCTGTTTGGACTGAGTATTATGCTCCTAAGGGCCCAAAGGTTCGCAGAAAAGGACAGTGCAGTAGAACGTTGCAGCAGGCTGCTAGAGAAATCTTCCCCCATCCAACTGTCATGTTAGAGAGAGGTGTGGGAAGCTGAAGCCTAGAGAAGATGAACTTCTGGAGGCTGGGGCAAAAGGAAGCTAAAGAAATGGGCAGAGTGCTGAAGTTCTCTACCTGCAAATCCCCTAGACAAACTGTGTTGCTGTGCTTTTGGTTACACTTTGGCCTAATTTGAGTAAATAAGAAACCAATGAATGTCAATAAACAAAGTATTTTCTTTTATAATTTTTCACATGGGGAAATTCAGTATTGTTTGCAACGTTGTTTTCCAGTATTTTGTTATATGCCCTGAATCCATCATATGCGCCATAATTTTGTTAAGTGCTACCCTTCGCTGCACCATGATTTAAGGTTACAATAAAATAAATGTATTCAAAACATTTCAAAACTATAACAAGAACTGGCTAGGAATCAGATTTTGTTCACTAAGAGCTGATTTGTATAAGAATTTTTACATCTTTTGATGTAAAATTTTTCACAGAATGAAAAACATAAAATAATGTGAAAATGTCAAAGCTTTTGTAATGGCCTATGCAGCCAAGTACACTGTAGAGTTGATAAAATAAATACTATTTCCCAGAGACTTAAGCAGTCCAAAAAACTAACTGCATGGGTAACTTGAAAGGAAAAAGTAGCTTCTCAATAGATTCAGTAATTTGAAGTACTCAGGCCTGGTGCCAAGCTGCTTTTAGGATGAAGGCAAAACCACATTGCCAGGTGACAGCTTACAATAAAAAGCAAACAATGAATTGCATGATCTGACAATAAAAAGGCAAAATGATCGTCTAGAAAATAGACTGATTATTCTGTGTGCTGTTCTCAGGGTCAATTAACGTGCAATTATACTGTACCAATATTGTTACAGCTATGAAACAAATGTTATTTGTACTGTACTTATTGTGTTAAGTCTCGTATAGAGTAGCACAGTGCCTTTCCAGTCCTTCTCAAGTACCTTAGTGTTGCTGCAATAGCAGTAACTGATAACATCATTTGGTGTTTAGCAGCAGTACTTTGCTTTTCATTTAATCTTTGTAAATGAGCACAAAGTCCATCCAGGTAGGTCTCTTCTCACGTATGCAGTATAAGCCAACAAGAAGGAAACTGTCAAAGCCAGGCATGATCGTGTTATTTCCCAAAAAAGCTTTGGATTTGGTGGAAGAGGTTTGGGGTCTCAGGAATTCTTCACCTCCCAGTGGTTTTTTTTTTTTTTTTTTTTTTTTTAAATTGTTTGTCTCATTTTTTTTTTGTTAATTTTCTTTGGAAGCAGCTTCTTCACTGTTCTCAGGACGTGAAAGAAAAACTGCAGATTTTTAGTCAGTGTGCTGTTCATGTTAAATGCCCTAACTTTCTGTCCAACTTGTTCTTTCTGATAGTAATGACTGTATGAAGACAAGTGATGATCCAGTTTTAGTATGGAAACTGTTCCCAGCCTTATGGGGATCATTTAGTTAAAGTCATGGTGTTTGGTAAAAAGTAACACAGATAAGCAGAACAGCCAGTTTTACACATGTCAAGGTGATATTTGATTTGCATGATCCTGGACCACCTATACAAACAGTGTATATAAGTTGTGCTAATCCATAATAATGTATTTATTTGATTTTCTTCAAACACTTTTATTTCTCCCCATTCTCACTCCCTCAATTTTGTGCTCTTCTTTCCACCTTTCAGTTCTGGCACCAAAAGCCTGCTAGCTGAAGGCTTTCCGAGGGATGTTGATTGGAATTTGGCGAGTTCCCATCTTTAGTCCATTCTGTATATAAAATGAGTTAATGGAAACAGAATATGAATAATCTGTCCTCCTCTGCCTAGAAACTTCTAAATAGGGCTTTGGTACAAAGATAAACTGATAATATTAACAGGCTTCAAGCTTATCTCCTTTTGAGGCCAGATTTGCAGTGCAACAGGGCCCTATGTCAGCTGCTGTTGTTATCAATGGTCCAAATTGCTATACAGCCTCAAGCTGACTCAAACTGAGGGCCAAATGCATAGGTTAGGCAAATCAGGAGACTGACAGGCGTTATTTAAGAGCCTTTCAAATCCTGATGTAAGTGTAAGAGCTTTCTAGGCATGCAGTTAGTTTTCATTCTGTATATTTGTAGCCAAACAAAGAAAAGCAAGTCAGAGAGTCTGAAAGTGACAGCTAGAAGTAGTGATGCCTGTGTCAGCTTTTTCATTCTCTTCCAGCTGTAAATGCTACTCCCAGCAGCTGGAGCCTGGACAGTGGGAAAGAAGCCAGAAACACATCAGACAGTGGGAAGCTTATATCTCCTCCTGTACCACCGAGACCTGCACAGACGGGTGAGTTAATGGACATTTTGGTCTAAACTCCAATCAAAAAATGATTTACTTGAGGGCTTGGATTCTATCCACTCTGACTAACATTTAACTTTCTGGGCAGTCTAGTTTATTATTCAATTACTGACATGGAAGGCTGTAGAACTGCATATATTTTCCTCTCATTAAGCTTATTTGTAGCATTCTGTTTTCAGTACTTTGCCTCTTCACTTAATGACTGTGGAATTTCAGACACTTTATTCTGATACCAGGGTGGATGATCAAATTTAATCTTTTGATCTTACAGTAATTAGAGGTTAGCAGTTGGAAATGATTGTTAATGAAAAAGAATCTTACTTGCCAGAAAATGCTCAGCAGTCATGGAAGTATGTGAGTTCCATTACTATAACTAATTTGCCCTTCAAAAGACTAATTTCCATGTAAAGAACAGACAGATTAAGTAGTATTAGAAATATAATTGTTCTCAAGGGAGCGGAAACTTTTAGAAGTTTCAGCCTTATGCCTCAAAGAACATTTCGTATTGTATTTTTTCTTATTTGACATTAAAATATGGAATGTATTCTTAGGAAAAAGGAAAGGGAAAAGAGGGAGCAGAAAATACTTGTTTTCTTTGAATCCTGTTATTGTTTGATAGGGTATAAACAAATTTACAAGATATAAAATTGGTCATGGAAGATGGCTGCAGAAATTTCTTACACTTTGTTGTACTGCAAGATAATCCTGAAAAAAGAAACAGAATTTTTAAGACTACTTGCAACTACTGAGCAAGTATGGAGAGCACTAGAGAAATTTGTGGGTGGAATCATCTCTTACCTCTTTAGAAGATTTCTTAATGAAAACTGTAATGCAAAGACTGCATTGTAATCTTTCTCAATTTACAGCATCACCAGCAAGACACATAGCCTCTGTTTCCCCTTCTCCTGCTGGCAGATCACCAATGAAGGTACTGGCTTTTTGCAAGTCAACCTCCTTTGTGGGACAGATTGTATGTGCTGTGGGGTATATCATATGTATTTAATATGTTATTTGAGTTTATTTTATATTCTATTTCCATTATATTAGCATTTTTATTCATTATTATTGGATTTTGTACATATTATTGTATGCCTGTACAAAATTCATTCACAAGAGTAAATAGCCATAACAATCACAGCAGATCTGAAGATTTTAAAAACTGCAGGCAAGAAATCTAATCTTCACAGTGTCAATATTAGACTTCTCACCTATGTGCATAATCAAGTTCTCTTGAGTAAAGGGAAAGAATTGAGTGTACAAAATAAATGTAAGAAGTGTTATCTGATCTACTTAGTCCAGAATGCCATCTCCAACAGTGGCAGAAGGAGATGCCAGTTAAGGAGAACCTGTTGTGCAGCCCATTCCTCTTACTCCTCCAACATCCAATGCTTCTCTTAGGAGTCTCAGAGGGTAATTCCTGCTCCACTAATTTTAATACTCATTGCCTCTGCAGGGCAATCCAGGGGAGAAGCTGGAAATAGTGTGAAGCCTGTCAGTAGGAAACATTAAGCAGAGGCTGTGAATGAACATCGGTTCTTCTCTGACAGTTAGGCACCTGTAGCAAGAGGGGATCCTCTTAGCAGGTTTCATTTCTGTTTCGATGTATTTGAAGATTTGTTGTGCGACAGCTTATTGGTTAGAAAACTTGACCAGGAAATCTTTGTCTCCAGCAGCACTGCAGGGCATCAGTACACAGCCTGCATTCTCCAGGAAAACCTCACTATTGACAGACAGCTTATTAGTCTGAGGGATAACTTCTGCTAACGCATGCAAGCTGAGATAGTTGTGCTGTTGGAAATATGGGGGTCAACAACCTAGAGCAAATCAAAACGAGCAAGACTGGTGCTTCAGTTGGAGAGCATTCCTGCTGAAGTGATCCCTCAGGTATTCAGTTTTTGCATAATAAATGCCACAAATGTGCACATCTCTTGAGGAGAAGGGAAGTGACACCCCCAAAACACCTCCTTTCCCCTTGAGGTTCTTAATCATAATTCTGCAATCATTTTCTTCTTTATTGTCCCACACACCTGTTAGTTTTCCACTTGTGGCCGCAAAGTGGCTCTGTTTCAACAGAGAGTAATTGTGCTTGCTATCAAGTGTACTGTAGTCCTGTTACCATGGTACACCTGTTGAAGTGAGCGCTGATGCCAAGTTTCTGATCGAATTCTTACTAGGAATCTCTTCAGAGCATTAGAATGTTGCACAAAAGGTGACTAACTGTGCCTGTGTTCTTGAATTGACTTGTTATTGATGTTTCCTAAGGTGTTTAAAACTTGTCCTAACCTTTCCTTCTAAACGCCTGGGTGGAATTTGAGCATTTTACAGCCAAACTCTGGATTGCTGCTTGAGAGTAGAGGAGTGCTGGCCCACGAAACTTCGGAGAGGTTTCTGGATTTCACTCCAGGCAGCCATGAACATCCAGACTCCTTTGGTGCCTAGACTGTTATTCATTATGATACACAGAGTCTGCAGCGCTGTCAGGAATGAAGTACTTGCTCCTGCTCAGCTGCTAAATTGAAGCAGGCAGTATTTACATGTATTTGCTTGTGTTCTGAATGTCAAAAGCCATGCCTCTAATTTTTATCTACAGTCACTTAACCCAAGTGTCTACTGCTCTTGAAATTTGAACCAATTACATTATTTACTTGAAAACTTTGACCCTGGATGTTTGCATGGATAAGAGTGCAGCTACGCCTTCCTTAGAAACAGAGGGTTTGAATCTGAAGCAAGTGCTTAATATGCAGCATCTCCACAATGTGAAAAATATCTTCAGCATGCACTGAGGTTGCAGGACAATCTGCTCTGTTTTTCCTTAGCTCACATGGCTCAGTTTTTAGTCTTTGTTCCAACTGTTACATGCTGCCATCCTAGTACAAAACCTGATGCAAATGAAGATTTTTCTGCTGGTTTCAGTGTGCTGTGGATCCAGTCCTAGTAAATGAGATTATCTCAGTGGAATGAAGTCAGTGCAGCCAGCTCTATACGTTTTTGTTCCTCTGCCATTCCTCCCTACCCTTGTTGCACAGCTCACAATTTCATCTAAAGCTGAGCAGCTGGGTGCCAAGCAGTCTAAATAGAAGTGGGGTCAGGAATTTGTCTTTGATATGATTTCTCCATCCATTTTTCAGCCTGTGCTTGAGACTGTTAAGTCTAGGTTGTCTGATTGCTCTAGTCACAATTAGGTAAGTTGCCAAACTTTCCCAACTTGTAAGGTGTACTCTAACCTGTTAGAGCAGTTGCTGAACTTGTTCCACTAGAATAGGACTTCTCTGTGATGGCTTTACTGTCCCTGCCCTCTGCTTTTTGTCAGTGCTGGTGCTGAGCCCTCAGCTCCCTGGCTCTCACCTTCCCACACACCCTCATGTCTTCACCCTTCTTTGTCCCTGGGGCTGTGATGGTGTTTTGTGTCATGCACAGTGGCACAGTGCATCCAAAAATCACCTGGGGATGGGGTTGGGCCACAGTTCAAACTCCACAATGTAAATGTGCTTTTGTTGCATGACCGTGCACTGAAGCTGTGAGAAAAGCTTTGGAAAATGAATGTTGAGGGAGAGATCGCAGCATCAGCATGGAAGGTGATGCAAATGCCGTGTTTTGGCATTAGAGGGCAGGACATCACTAGGCAGACACTATGAGTGGGTAAGGATTTCACTTAAAAGAACTGGGAAAGCTGAGAGCTCATTTTAAAGGCTTCCAGATTTTTCCAGATAGTAAGACAACAATTAAATACAGTTTTGCTTTCACTTAAATGAATTACCGATATGAGCACTGCTTAGGGTGTACTTGGGCACTCCTGAAATGAGTTTTTATTGTTTTTTTTTTTTTACCGAATCTTAATTAAAACCAAGATGCAGCGCTACATTTACCAAGCTTCAGAACCTGTGCAAGTGCCTCTGTGCGTTTGCAGCCCGAGCACCGGAGTGCCCTCCCCAGTTCAGCGCCGCTAATTTCTTCTCACGCCCTTTCTTTTGAGCAGGGCTCTGTGCAGTCATTCACGCCATCTCCGGTGGAGTACCATTCCACGGGGCTCGTATCCAACTCCCCGGTGCTGTCGGGGAGCTACAGCAGCGGCATCTCTTCGCTCAGCCGATGCAGCACCTCGGAGACGTCGGGTTTTGAAAGTCAAGGCAGCGAACCGCCGGTCCCGAGCTACAGCGTCCCGGAGGAGCCCGTGAGGAAGGAAAGCAAAACCCCGCCGCCTTACAGCGTGTACGAGCGGACTTTGAAGCGCCCCGTTCCTCTACCTCACAGCCTCTCCATCCCCCCCACCGACCCCCCTGCCCTACCGCCCAAGCCGCAGCTGGGCCGGCCCAGCAACGCGGAGAGCAGCAGCAGGAGGACTGAGCCGGCCCCGCGGCCCCGGCCGTTGCCGCGCAAGGTGTCCCAGCTATGAGGAGCCCTTTGGGATCTGATCACAAGGAATTCTTTACCATTTAAGGAATAATATTTTTAAAAAATGGTAAAATGCGTTTAGTTAGGCACTTTAATATTTTGCCCACCTTTCCCTTTCAGTAACTTTCAAATGCTTATTGATGTTACGTTGCACATTTTAAAATGAAATTACTAATTTAGGTTGCCAGATATTATAGGAAGCATGAAAGAGAGACTCTTTTTTAATGTCATGGTGGTGAATACTGATAAATGCTTTCCTTTGTACTTTATTTTTATTTAAAAAGTTAAACGTAAACCCCTGCAATTCTCGTGTGAGCCAGATGAATGCTCCTGACAAAACAAAATGTACTGACTGGGACTTTACTGCTAGAAATAGCAGCACGTGGTCTAACAGAGCAGTCTGTAGGCTCAGCTGTTTCCACAAGTAGGTGGGAAGTCATTTCCCCCATGCAGTGGATGGGTTGGTTGTTTCAAATGTCTGTGGAAGAACGGATATGATGCAAGTTATACTGCAGAGAGCTGAGCGAGAATGTGCTTTGGAATTTTTGAAGCAAACACTTGGTTGCTGTTATTTTTAAGATGGAAAGATGCCTGCATTTCATTCAGTGTAGAGCAGCTTTCTGCTGCCATTAGTGTATTATGGTATCCAGTGCATCCTTTGCTTTTTCAGGTGCAAATGACCTTTATTGTTCCAGTTAATGTTTTTTTTTGTTTGTTTGTTTGTTTTTTTAATTGCTAGTGGAGGTCCTCTTCCTCTGCTGTTTTTGAGAGTTCACCCTAAAATACAGTCACTGTGTTACATGGGTACAAAAAACACACTCATTTAATTTGCTTGTTAGAGTTAGCACCAAGTCGTACGAGGGCAATACACTAAACAAAGTATGAATATGAATTACTGGATATTTATTAAAAAAAAAAAAAAAAAAAAAAGTATTTCAGAAGGAAATTCAGAGTTCGTTAACAGTTTTGTATAAACCTAGCAAAAATTCCAAACGGCTCTTTGGATGTGTATGTAGCAGTGCATCAGGTTGGGGTTCGCTTTTTAGGTCGTGTTCATCATCATCGTCTGCTGTCGGAGGACAGTGTTTGGCCTTCGGGCATACCTTAGTGACTGGCATCTGGAAAGCTAACACCATGCCAAACCGTAGGGACAAAAGCACCTTCTGTATGTATTTTTGGTATCCTCTTTCTTTTACTGACCATTTAACACGTGCTTGGGAACAGATGTATGAACTGCATTTTAAATCACGCTGTTAAAGATATTCTCCCTCTTTTGTTGGGAAGCTCACGTTGATTTTAGCTGTGTCCAATTTGTTGATAGCTTAACTGGAAGAAAGTGACCACTTTTTATATTCTCTAAAGCAGTTATAAGCTGCTGATGGTGGTTATAGAGGTTTTCTATAATAAATGTTTGAGTATTTTTGTACATAATTGGTAAATTTTAATAAGGAGTGTACCATTATGTGAAAAAGAAGCAAACAGTTGTGTATGCAGTAAGATTGTTATAATTATGCCAAATACTTTATGTATGGAAAAAAGAATATTTGTAAATATGTGCTTTTAACAATAATTCTGCCATATTGACTTTACAATTTTGAATGTCAGAAAAATTAATATATGTTAAAATATTTATGTTTTAGTGAAAGTATTCATAACTTGAAAAGGAACATACGAATTTTAGCTTTGTATCTTGCTGATTTCAAAGTCTGAAATTCCTTGAACTAGCTCTCGCTTTCAACTATAACATTTTTGTGTCTGTAACCACATCATAAGAGGTGCAGAAAGCTCCGTATTTATGCTGGTAGAAAGAGGTAATACTTGGGGTTTAAATAAGGTGTTACAAGTAAGATAACAAAGCTGCTTTTTTTAAAAAAAAGATTTTATTTTTTCTTTCCCCATCCGTAGGTTAGTAGATTTTGTTAGGTAGTGCTTGAGCACAGTATCAATCAGTGTTATTTGCTCCTGAAGCCATTTCTTGTTTCTGGCAGTGAGCAGAACTGTTGCATTTATCCTTTGCGTGCATTTCAGAAGTCAGCTCGGCAGCACATTTCATTTTATCTAGACACTCATGTCGGTTGCTGCATAATGTTAATATCGGAATAAAATGACTTGATTAATCTTTACACCTTGTTTTCTACAGAATGAGATTATAATCGTGTTTATCAAGCAGCTTAAGTTCTGACTCTGTGTTGCCAAACTTGTTTCATTTCTGTTGAATATCTCCTAATAGACTGGGTTTTCTCCCTGTTTGGATCCTTAATAGCTTTGTGAGACAGTGTGGAGAGCGTTGCCCTGCTCTTCTGAACAGGGAGGAGTGAAACATTCTCTCTGAGAGTTCACTGTAAATTAACCTGCATGAGCACTCTGTTTTTATAACCATGACGTCGCGAATACTCCGAGTGATAGCAGATGGTATAAAATTGACAGAGTACTCTGAAAATGAGCTGATGCATTTTCTGCTTAGTCAGTTTTGACAAATTGATTCTGTAGATCAGTTTTTCAACCTGATTTCTTATAAAAGCGTAGTATGAAATTTTGTTATGTATGTTGCAATACCAGAGCTTGAAAACCTAATGTAAATAAAGGTCTTGTTTGAATTTTATGCGTTACTCATAAATACAGTTTGATCACTTTCTGGATGACGGTGGGTAATTTAGAAGCTCATAAAAGCGGACCCAGGAAGACAAATGGCTGCTTCTTCTCAATAGCTTGAATGTTAGCCAGCTTATGTGTAATAGCAGAGATGATTGTGCATTTGAATACTGCATTTGAATTGTTGGTATCTCTGTGATCCCTCAAAGCAGCATCAGCCACACCTGGCTGACCTGTCAGTGGTGCAGTTTGGATCCATCTTCTGATGGGCTAACACTTCTGTGCTGAGTCAACTCAGTTACCAAGGTCTCAAGCCGTGTCCTGAGAGAAGCTAAAGTTAGTTTGTGATAATCAGGGTGGTGCAGATATGGCCCTGCTGATGTGGAACAGGCAGTAGTTATGTGCAAATCCCCGTTTTATGGAAATGGTGCGTGCTGTCCTGCCTGCTGGTCTGCTTACTCACAGATTGTCGGCAGTCTGCAAAAACCCCAGTGACTGGGCAGACTCCTACAGGCAGGAGTCAATGCCTGGGGTGTACGTGGTGAAAAGCATCTTGTTTTGAGTTGACTGGGCTTGTACCAGTCACTCATAACCAAAGCAGAGCCCCAACAGGCCCCTGCTGGAGGGCACAGCCTTCTGCTGGGCCGGAGTGCAAGGGTGCTCTGCCTGGAGTCCATCAGATCCTGATCTTCAACCGCTCCGTGCCAAACTGTGTAAGGGAAAGCACTTTCTGTATTTATTTAAATTGTCTTTCTCTTCTCCCTGTAGTGTTAATTCAGCTTTTGACATGTTTCATGTAGACTTCTTTGGTGATGAGTTGCTTTGAATGACATTACTAAAAACTCTTGTGATGAGGCGGCAAAAATTTGCAACCCTTAGGAATACGAAAGGTTTAGAGCTGCTTACCTCACATGTGCTCCACACATCAGGATGCAGAGACTTTTCCTAAGTCATAAAATAAAACTGCTGAAGGAAGAAAGCTTTTAATTGGATTGTTTGGTAAGGAACTGGGTGTGCTTGTAACGCGTGCTTATAATGTGTTTTTATTCTCCCAGGAAGAGTAATAGTAAGAGAGATAGACATTGAAGCATCAAATCGATTTCTTTCAGGTCTTATGGCATGGTTTCATACCAGCTTAACTGCTGGCTGAGCTGTAGGGAGCCATAGGAAGGCCGGAAGTCCTGACAAAATGGTTTTTTATTTTACAAAGGCTTGGGTTGTTTTTTCCCCGTTATCCTATAGCTTACGAGAGGAAAGATGCCACAGCACAGAGAACTTTGCAGTGAGTTATAAGGGAGAAGAACTTCTAAACCCAAAGCCCTGCAATTTTTTAAAATAGCTCCTTGGTTTTTGTAGACAGTTGTTTTCTTACCCCATTGTGCATAGCTGATGAGTGTGAACAACAAACAGTATTTTAGGGAACAAATCGATGTCCAAATTTCATCAGAAATAGCTGCTCTGATAGCTTGTAAGCTGCTGGGATTCCTGTTGTATATTTAAATGTTTTACATCAGTGATTTTCTATTGGTACTACATCCACTACTGCATTTCAATTTGTTCCATTTGTTTTGAAACAACTTTGTGGAGGCATTCTCTGCATTGCATTCTTGCTTATTTGTGCAAGACTGCTATCACTGCTGTTTATTCCTGGCCTTACTGACCTCCCTTGAAGTTTTTCCTCTTGCTTTCCAAAACAAAGGCCATCATCAAGGAACTTCTTCCACCTCTGCCACAAGCAATGTTGCAGTGTTCCAGCACAGGCACCTGCCTGCTCCTAGGGGGATACCCGTGCTCTCAGAACAGGACTGTGCCAGAGCAGTGCCTAGGGAGCACCTCTGGGAGTCTGCAGACATCGACTTGGTGACAGCTCAAGGACAGGGACTAAACAACTTAATAAACTCAGGGGTGGTGTAGGTAATGTCTTGCAGGAACTAAGCCTTGCCCAGGAGTGAAACAGCCCCAGGTAACCTTCATCATATGGGAATCCCTTGCTTCATTTACCATTCCTCTTCAATTTGTAGAAGAAATATTCTACATAGATACACAACTAATGTTTAAAAACAGTAAAAAGAGGGTTGCTGAGCATGAGATAAGGAACAACACACTCCTTTAGTGCAGGGAACAGGGAAGTGCTAATGTATATTCAATTCCTGGCTGACCTGGGACCTTTGTCTACAGGCCAGTAGCAGCCAGTGGGTGTGTGCTGCCAAATGGTTTGTCCTTATCCACTAGAATGTGCTCAGGCAGAGCCAAAGCGGGAAGTGCTGTATGACCAGCTGCGCACACCAAATTCAGTGCTGGTCCCATTTCTACCATCTGGTGCAGGAAAGCAGGCTGGCTGCCTGTTGCTCTCTGAGCAGCTTGGCCACTGTGCTGATGCTGAGATGTTCAGCTGGCCTTTAAATATGGTGCTACAGCGAGGATGTGATACAGCACATCCCAAGATGCATGCAAAGGCTCATATCACTGTTGTTAGAAATTAGCTTGCGTCCAGGAGGAGCTGGGTGACAGCAGCTGGTACGGATTGAATTGTGCTCTCACCTGAAGAAAGTAAAAGTCTAACGCTGACTGCAATACACTTCACAGTGAACAAAACACATCAATAAACTCAGCTATTTCTTTTCAAATAGTGAATTAGGAGATGGAGCAACAAATATCACCATGCTGTGTTCTTCCCAGGCCATTAAGGATAGCAGAGGAAGATTGTGCACGCTGGGCAGGGGCTTTTTGTGCTGCCAAAGAAAGTGTTGGCGCATCAGCAGCCCCCCTCCAAGCCCTGCCTCGGAGCTGAGGTGCATCCGTCAATAGCCCTAAAGCTACAGCGCAGTGAGATTTTGTAGCTGTGAAACCTGAGCTGCATAGTGATAAGCAGACAGGGCCTGTAGGGGAGCAGGCAGGGAGAAAAGGAGAAAAGTGTTTTTCAGGTCACAAAGATCTATTTTTCACTTCTGGAACGCTGCTGCTTACTGAGGAGTGCTGGGGCTTTTACCGTATACTTTAATGTTTTTTTTCTCCTCTGTGTGAAATAATGCTTGGGGGTTGTTTTCTCTGTGTAGCTTTGAATGATGTCGTTGTTCTGCTGTATCTGCAGAGGATGGGGTTTTTGTTTTTTTGTTTTTTTTGTTTTTTTTTTTTTCTCCCTCTTTTTTTTCCTCAATTCTTTGCAGAGAAAGGGAAGGACAGAATAAAGGAGAACAAAAATGGTGCTCAGTGCTAAGTTGTCTTTTCAGCTGTGGTGGTTGCATTCTCTGTCTGCCCCTTATCCCAAGGGCTAGCAAGCAGCCCTAAATTGTGAATTTGCTCCTTGTTGGAGTATATATTACAAAGAGGAGAGCTGATAGGGTTGCAGAGAGCAGACTGGTTATGAATGGCACCAAGCACCTCTGGCATGTGCTGTGCCCACCCCTGGGGTGAAGCAGCTTCCCAGCTGGCAGGAGGGGCACAGCTGTGGGTGCCTGTAGGAGCCCCCACCTGCCTGCATGCACTCCCCATGTGCGAGGGCAAAACAATGGATGAGCTCCATTCTGCTGGGCAAAGTGTGCTTGTGCATGTGCTTCTGCCATGGTGTGTGAATGATAAACTGCAGAGAGCTGCAGCGCCGTAAGGAACACAGAAACAGTTAGAATGACAAATTCTAAGTCACTGTGCTCCTTCGGTATTATTGTTCTTGTGGAAATGGTCTGGGAAAAGAAAATAATAATGGTCTGGAAAAAGAAATAATAACCCTCCACTTATTTAGCTTGAGAACTTGGGAAACTCGGGAGATTTTGCAAATTCTCTTATTGAGCCCTTTCTGTCTCAGTGCTGTTTCTGCTGAAGGCATTATCAGCCCATCTTGCAGGCACAGCTCTTGGCACTGTGCTGGCCGAGCCCAGGTGCAGCAGGGTGCCAAGCCATCAATCCTACTGCCCATAAGCGGGGTGCATCCCACGCTGAGCACCGGAACAGCAATGGGCCTGAGGTGCCCCGAGAGCAGAAGCAACAGTGACGCAGATGGCAGGGTCATCTGTCAGCCACACTTACCTCACTGAAGACTTTGCATGTCAGGTAACAATAAAAAAGACATCTGGCAGACACTCCACCTGCTCGTAACTGATCATCATTAATAAACCTGTTCCAGAATGCGCCGCCAACATCTCAGCTATGACCACATAACTCAAGGTAATTAGCAAATGGCAATTGCTGAAATGAGTTGCTTTTGTTGGCCGAGTGAAGGAACCAACACCATGGTTGTTATTGACAGAATGAAAGCTGTTTTGTGCAGGTTTACTGAGCTGGCTAAACAGCAGGCTGGTTTGCTGGCTCGTTCTTTCTCTGATGATTTGTGTACTGTGGAATATAGGGCTGTAATGGCTTTATTTTTAGAAATGTTGATTATACATAATGAATAGATACTGCAGCTCGATCAACCTGAATTTGCTCTGGAAATCACAACTTCATGGCTGATTTCTACCTCGGCAATGGACAGGAGTTTATCTCCAAAAAGGGAAAAAAAAAAAAAAAAACTTGGTTTACAGCATACTATGAATGTATTGTTGACAGATTTAAACAATAAACAAACCATGCATAGACTTATCTGTGCTGTATGACCACCATGCTTTGCCTTTCTCCCATCCCTACTGCAAGAGCTGCTGTAAAACTGGAGTGCTGAAAGGTGGGTGAGTGCTCATGGTGCACCGGGGCCTGTTTGAAGCTGACAAATTGCTGTGGCTCTCTTTGGGCTATCTGCAGGAGGCTTGTTTGGTGCTGCTCAGAGAGCAGCACTATGGGGAGGATCCAGAGCAGTGAGGGAAGAATGAGTGCCCTTACTGGGTCACCCCACAGTTGAGTAAGTGCCTATTAAGCAATGCTTCCTTGCAGTGTGGACAGAACAGCTCAGTGCAAGCCAATGGACACGCTCCCACCCCTAAGCATGCTTTCTAGTGGGAAATCTTGGTGCAGAAGAGCCAAAAAATAATGACCAAATATCAATAAATCAGAATAACTGAAAACAGACTCCATGGGGGGAGA